ATTGTCCCCTAACTCAGACAACTTCCTCTTGTCCTGATTTTATTCCAAATTAATGAAGTTACATGATAAAGCAATAGATCACCATTATGGACAAATGCTACCAAATAAACAAACATTTAGAAAACCTGAAAACTTTCTAAAAATAAAAGCTCTGAACCAGCCAGCATGCTAACATTGGCCACACACCAGCCTGAAATGGAAAAAGGGCTCTTCTTCCTTTGGCTGTGCTGGCACTCCAGAGGGAGGAAAGGACAGTGACACTGATTGAGTCTGTGCTGGGTGCCAGACCCACAGATAGGTGCCTTCACTCATTAGATCCAGCTCCAATTCAGCTGTCACTGTATTTTGTTATTTTACCAGGAGGAGGTGATCACCGGGTGAAAGGCTATTGGGCAACAGAGTATTCACATCATATCAAAGTATTATCACTGCAGAGATCCTATATTAACTGCCAAGGGGAAGATGTACCTTTACAAAGGAGAGGCTGAGAGGTCTTCCATCCACCACCACCACCAAGTCATCAACCTTATTAACACTAATACTGGGGCAGCCTGATGTCACACGCCTCCGGGTGGAATGTAACATGAAATATACAGTGCCGCTTATTGCATATTCTTGGCACAAAACAGGGTATCTGAATCTAATAACTGGTCCAGTTTGGAGCAGTTATTAGAAAACAGGGGTCAATGAAACAATTCAAACACCACAAGGAAATAACCAGACAGCTCCAGAATGTGGGGCCCTCCGCACAACAAGCAGCCAGGACTCTTCAAAAAGTCAGAAACATTAAAAAAAAAAAAAAAAAAAAAAGGGTATGTGTATGTACAGGAGGAGATTCTTCTAGAAATAAAAGTGACTGAAAACACAACCAAACACAATGTGTGGACCTTGATTGGATCTTAGTGTTTAAAAATTCCAGCTATAAAATGCTTGTGACATTTGGGGAAATGTGACTATGGACTGGATATGAGGTGGTATCATGGAGTTATTATTAATTCTCAAGTGTGATGATGAAATTGTGGTTACGTGGGAGACTGTCTTTATGTTGGGGAGACTTAGCTGAAGTATTCAGCAGTAAAGCATGATGCTTGTTGCAACTTACCTTCAAATGGCTCACCCCCAAAAAAAGAAGCATAAAGAGATAAAGCAAATGTGACAAAATGTGAACAACTGCTAAATCTAGGTAGCCAGCAGACAGATATTCAGTGTATTATTTTTCATCTTTTCTACGTTTGACATTTTTAGAGATAAAAGCCAGAATGGGGTGGGGGAAGGGGATCGTAGGGAAGGTTGTGCCAACACGAGTCTGTTCACACAGAGCACACAGGGAGGCCAGTTTACCTGTAGAAAACCCTAGAAACTCTCATTTAAGATATCAAAGCTGGGTGGACTGGTTTGTGATTTTACTTTGGATCGAAGGAAAAAAAGCTATCACCTCTCTCAATGTCAGCAGTATTTTTGTAAAAAACGGACACATTTCTCCCAGTTGGCTAGCCCCCATTGTCTATAATTAAAATAGGCAGGCAGATTTATCCAAGCTCTCAAAATGCTTGTTTTATTAAAAACCAATTCTGTCTACACTTCAGCCCAGAACCCTGACTGTGCATGGTGAGGGAGGCTTGAGTTTGCTTCACATTCACATGTCCTGAGAGTAAATACCCCCAAATGCCAACACGCACACTGGCCAACAACACGATCTTTGGCTGACAGCTGGGTGGCTACCCTGCACTGGAACAGTTTGCTGAGCTCTAGGACTGCTCAGCTCTGTTCTGCTGAGACCCTAGCTGAACAACTTTGTCAAGTCACAGACTATACACAAAGCCACCAAAATGAGGAATTGCTTGGCAGGCAGACTATGACAAAGCCCCCTTGTTTAAAGCATTTCTTTCTATGCAGATACCTAATAGACACTTCAGAAAATTCTAGGTGGAAAGTATCTTCATAAGCTTGACTCTGAATATGTTTGCCTTTCCTTGCGTACACAGGCTACCTTAGCTGGAGCCTCCAGAAAGCCCACCAACTCAACAAAGCAGTGCTGACACTGGGACATGTGTGTGGGTGGTGGCCTGTAACAGTCTGTGTGTTTATGCAGCATGAGGAACGGGCTACCATGCATGACCTGGCATATACGTTCTCAACCGCCTGGACAGAGAGGGTCTATAAACCCTACACAGAAAGGCAAGAAGTCTATCAAAGCATCAGAATGAGAAATCCTTGCAGAACCAGAATCTCCCCAGAGACATTAACATATATAAGTAATCTTCCTTCAGGACAACAGCCCTCACAAGGCGAAAAAAAACCACAGCAATGTGTAAGTGGAGAAAAAGTAATTTTTCTGGATAGAAAAAGGAACATAGAGACAGTGGTCTGAGGAGTCACTGAAATCAGGGAGGTGAAGTAAGGAAAATGACCTCACAGCTTGTCTGCAGGCAAGTGGGTTCATTCTACAGTCAGAGCTGGTCCAACAGGAAACAGTATTTGCTGTCAGGACTGGGGAAGCATTCCAGAAGAGAGGCACGGAGCCCACTGCCTCGAGGGCCACAGGTACTCAGAAGGAGAAAAGACTGTGACCTCAAAAACAGCCCTGAAAGGATAGGGGTGTTTAAACTGCTCAGAACAGACTGGCTGGTATTTTAAATGTTTGAAGATGATAACAGAACTGAGGATGGAGGGAGTGGCCTCACCTTAACATACTGACTTCCCTTTCTCAAGGGCTGCAAGGGTGATCCTCGTCAGGGGAACCTGACCTTTACCACATGCCCCTCCTGGCAGCTCTGCCAGACTGAGAAGGCAGACTCTGACGGGGAGGGAAAGAAGCACAGGACAAAGCCAAATGGCTCACAGATGTACTTCGTTACAGCTAATTCCATCCCTTTCCTCTTCCACCTTAGAGATTGCTTCCTCTTTCCAGCAGTTCTATTTCAACAGGACCAAGAAATCTGAGAGATAAGAAGGGCTCCACTCTGACTGCATCCCAGTCAGTGGGCTTCTCCTTGTCCAGCTTCTAGAATGTGATTGCCTTGGCCTGCTCTGTCTGCTTCTAGGCAGGGGGAGGAGGCTCTTGCTCTCACCTCCATGTACGTGTCAGGGCAGACATGGCTCTAGCCTTTCCAACTGTTCCCCCCATCACTCCTACCCCACATCACCCCAGGACCCACCAGCCATTTCCATGAGCTCTGTCCATGTCAAGCCTCACACTGAGCAAGAGACTGCTTTCTAGCCCAATCTCTGCACACAGAAAGTACCAACCACAGTGGGATTTGCACATGTGCTCACACTGAAGATTAAGTAAAGGAGTATGTCCCTGAAGACTCCACTCTGAACACATTCAACTCAGCACACTTCTCAGCTGCGAACAACTCTGCCCTGTCATAATCACATTTCCTTCTCTGAATCGAAAGTGTCAAACCCTAGGGGATAAGCTGGGCCATCAGCATCAATCAAACCCATGGAAACAGCCAGAGCTAGGCTAAGAAACCTCAGGTTAGGGAGCAAAATAAAAATGTAGCCTACAGTTCCTTCAGAGAGAAAGGAAGGGTGTCTGGAGGATAGAGAAGTAGGAGGGGTGTGAAGACCCACTCACCATGTCTTGAAAACACACACACACAGTACATGTGCTCAAGTCGGCAGCAGATTTTGGCTAAGTTGTCACAAATTATTACTGCGGGAACAAGGGAGTATTTGTTTAGTAGAGAAAGAGCAAGGCAAGTTGGGACTAAAAAGGAAAGAAAAAGCGGCAAACATAGACAGATGGGCACTTGTAAGACTTATCAAGGAAAAAAGGCCACCGGAAAAAAAGCGGTATCCATCATCAGAGCCTCTTTAGGATTACCTAAAGCCTGAGAGCATTCAGTCAAAGAAACCCCAAGTTACAAACAAGCAAGGTGGCCACTCCAGCAACTGAACCCTAAAAGACATAGGGACACAGCTGCAGGATCCCTCCTGAGTACCCCAAAGCACACTTTCCGCAGGAACTCTACACGCTGCCCACACAAGCACAGAGGGCAAGTTTTGAGAACAAGTCAATTTTGGAATTAATGGCTGCCCAATTATAACCTTTCCTTCCCTTTAAAACCCAATCACATGGACACTCCTAGGCTTACATGCCGAACAAAACTTCTTGTTACTTTAAGAAGTGAAGGATGTACACGAAGAAAAACAGAAACCCCTACCTCACAGCTCACATGACAACAGGGTGAGGGCTTCCTTCTCCATTCAGCCACTAGGTTGCCCAAGTTTCATGGAAAAGGAAACTTAAAATATAAAGAAGAAAAGTGGGTTGGGAAAGGAAACAACAGCCAGGGGAAGCTATAGATGCAGATTAGCAAAGCTTGGGACAGAGATGGAACAGGTGGGCCTGTTCTGGAAGAAAAAAGAGGAAGGCGATCTTGGGAAGAAGGCAGTCCAGGAAGTCCTGCCCTGAAAAGGGGGAAAATAAAGCTAAGGGAGAAGGGCCACGGAGAGGGAGGCGGGGACTGGGAAACGGAAGGCAGGGTCCTAACACTCGGGTGTTGAGAGGGATGCCGAGTAGCAGGATTTAAACGTGAACGGGTGAATCCTTGAAGAGCGAAGGAGCAGAAAAGAGCTCAGCATTCCACTGGGGATTGAGGGATGGCGGTTCTAAGCATGAAGAGCCCCTGAGACGGGGCGGACAGGGGGATGTCACCCTTGGGGGTCATGACTCCAGGCTGGGAATTGAGGCAACAATTCGAAATAGCAAGGTGGGAGGTGGGCGAGTTTTAGGCTGGCGTCTCAGAAGACAGACGTTTAAGGTGGAAAGGGGAAGGGTCTCTTCCGGCTGGAGGCTACAGCGAGTAGGCGAGGGGCTCAGAGCCCGCGGCCCGGGCCACCCCCTAGTGTGGGAATGCCCAGCCTGGGTTTGCGGGGGAGGAAGGATTCGGGTCCCCAGGCCGGAACTCTCCGCGCAAGAGGGGCCCCGGGGGGGTCTGGGCGGCGGCTGCCGCGCAGGGCCTCCGGAGGGGAGGGGGTCCCAGACTCACGCATTAACGTGCTGAAGGCCACGACGCCAAGCAGCCCCTGCAGGAAGATGCCGAAGCTGTGCATCAGCGCGCCGCTCTCGCAGCGGCCCGCCCCGGACGCGACTGTGGAGGGCGGCCCGCCCGGCAGTCCGCGGCTCGCGTTCCCGGCGGGGCCCTGCATGGCAGGCCTGGCGGGAGGGGCGCGGGGGCCCAGAGCCCGCCCGGCCTCGCTGCCTGCCGAGGCCGCGCCGCCAAACCTGCAGCCGAGAGCTCGAGCCCGAGCCACAGCCGGAGCCGGTACCTCCGCCCGGCGGCCGACTCCGCGCCGCGCGTAACCCGACGTCTGAGATCGCGGCGCCTAATTGGCGCAGCCCTGGTTGGGGGCGGGCCTCGGCTTCGACTCCTCCCCCCTGAGGGGCGGGGCTCCGACCGGCCCAGGGGGCGGGGTCGCGGGTCCCATTCCCGCCTCCAGCCGCGCCAAGACCGCAGGTAGACAGGCCAGGTGGGCCGCCAGCGCAGACCGGAATGAGAGCCGGGAATCACGGGTCCAGAGGTAGTAGCTGGGACGGCCTGTGGCCAAATTATTTTTCCCTCTAAGGCAAATCCCTTATATCCCGGAGAATTTATTAACATTCCTGGATTCCACCCTCAGAGATCCCGATTCAGTAGTTGCGGGATGGGGCCAAATAGTTTGCAGCCTGGATTATTCTGAAGCAGGTGAATAAAGAAAACAATCTAAGACTGAGCACAGGAGTCTTCCTTCCAACCCAGACATTAGAGTCTTTTTCCTACTTCCCTAGCTCAAGGCTTATCAAGAGTCTATTTTCTTTTTTTCATAGACATAATTTAAATGATCACCAGAATCCAATCACTTTCATTTTTAAATATACCAGGTTTCACACCGAAAACCTGACATGCACATATCCCACCATATTCACTTAGGGAGCACAACTACCTTTTGAGCATAGAAGACAAATGGTTGGTATTTGCCAGGCTCCAACTCCCCCTGCATACACGGACTCCCATTTAACCCTTTCCAACTCCTCAGAACCTGCACTCTGCCTTTTCCAAGAGCCCAGTCCCCATTCTCTCATCCAACCCTCCGGTCCCATCTAGGATCTCTCTGGACACATCTTGTTGGTGCTCTAGAGCCTCTGACCTTCCTGCTGCAGAATGTCAGTGAACACATGGTGTGAATCCAGTTGATGCTGAGCTACATGTGTTTTCAACAGTAAATATCATCTCTAGGAAAGAGTTTCCCTATTAAATAGCCAGCCACCCCCCCCAATTCCAATTACCTAAAGGGTTAAATGCTATCTAAAAGCTCTCTTGGTGAACAGGAATATTAACCTGATTAAAGAATAAAAATGCAATTATCCAGCCTTCTCTTACATTTTCACACCTCTATGCCTTTGCTGCATGGATGCCATTCCCTTTTCCCTGCCCCATGAACTGCTCCTCATGTGTCAAGGCCTATCTGACCTCTTTCCCTCTTGCTCCCACAGTACTGTTCCACCAAAACTTCTCAGACTGCTAAGTTTGACAGCTGTACAAATGTCTCTCTCCTACAGCTAAGTGTGAGCCTCCTGAGGGCAGGAATGGTTTTTATTCACCCTTCAATTCAAATTCAACATAGTGCCTGGCACAGAGAACATGAGACAAAATGCTTAATTTAAATGGAATTTAATTTATAAAATTTTAAGCTCTCCACAAGTACTGGCCGTGGGCAAATACAGAAAATCAGATTAAGAAAACAAATGGATAAGGGAAAATTAAAATTCCATGACTGTCTTTATTCTAAGAGGGATCTTATGAGGATGCTCAACAGTTAACAGTTCACGTTTAGAGAGAATCAAACAAGAGGCTACATCTTAAAGCAGAAGAGACTGTGGTTGGGCATAAGGAGATTATTGATTGAAGACAGACAGCTCAAGGAAAACTGCACACAGAGCTGAAATGTGATGTTTTTGACAAAGAATTGTTCTGCACATCCAGCTGTGGCGGAATCCTTAAGGCTCACAGAGGAACAAACAAGCAGTCTTCAGAGATCAGAGGCAGAATCCCCAATGCCAGGAGCAAGGTTGCTGTGGAGAAATTCTGCTCTTCCTATCTTTCCGGAACTGGAATTAAAAAGCACCTAAATCCAGAAGGTAAAGGTTCAGACAGCAAGAGAGGGGAAAGAATTCTGGAATTTTATTAAAGTAGGAAGGACTTTCTCATTCATTTGGAAATGATTCTCTGAGGTCCCCACTGGAAAGAGTTTTGAAAAATTTACTCTGGCCAAAATGCCTTCCTTGTTGTCAAATCAGAACAAAGTTAAGGTTAAACACAGCTTAAGACCTGTTTTCCTTAGTTTCCTCACAACCACTTAAAACTGTCATATGTACCACAAGTTTATATACAATCATATTTACAAAAAAACACGCAAAATATTAATCCAAAATAGTTTTTTTAATCCTTTGAAGTTATACCATCAAACTTGATGGGAGTTATTTTAATAGGTATTCTTGTGCATACTTAAGTGTACTTTTATCTTCAATGCATAACTTTTGAAATTAAGAGGAAAAACAGCAAGGAGGAAGGACACAATGCAATAAGCATTTGATTTTGTTCTAAATGAGCAGCTTAAAAAAAAAAGGCAAAATACATTAAACAAAGTGCATCAGTTCCAAGTTAGTATTAAAAAGAGGCCTAAGGACAGTGCTGGAACCAGCCAGGAGTCCCTCCCTGGCAGGCCTCTGATTGTCTTTTGAGAATATTCAATGAAAAAAAAAAAAAGAAGAAAGGAAGGGAGGGGGAAAGGAAAAAGAAATGAGCACTCAAAATCTCAAGAGAAACATTCAGACTACCTTCTCCAGAGATTCTTGCAAAAGGAGCTAAGGGACTGCCCAACTTTAATTTTGCCTAAGCTTTGTAACCTCCCTCAATCATCTGCTTTATGACTTGATTTGCCCTAAAAGCCTACCCTCATCCTTTCGGCACTTTTGTCCACCTCCATTCTGCCAAGCTAGGTATGCAGTTAGATTGAATAAACCATGTAGAAACCCTTAGGCCTGAGTTTCCACACATCCTGAGAACAGGCACCCCCATTAGCAATGGTGGCACCATTTCACTAGAAGGCACCATTTGCCTCCAGAAATAATGGGAGAGGCTCTTGCCTCCCACAGATCAGGGTCCATGCTTTTCTGCTGGTGTTGGAGACTTGTCCAGCAAGGCTGTGGCTTCTCTCTTAAATCAGTCCTTTGTGATAGGCCATAGCACCAGGACAGACCCAATGGTGTATTAAGTCAAAAAAGACGTAAGAGGGAAGTTTTAGGCCTACTTCTCTGTCTCCCCAACTCTCCACTCCCGGTTCTGCTGGTTCTTGTGAAAATCTCAGGCTTCTTAGACACTATGCCCAAGAAAATGACTGCAGTGCATTTGCCACCAACCACCATCTACACCTCCCCATAAAGCTGCCCTCAGAAACAACGCTACCTGTGTGGTCTGGGACAAGCACTGAAAAAACATCTTGGTGTGGGCCTGGAACCAGATTCATTTGGCCTGAGCATTCAATTTAAAACTTATGCCCAAACTCCAAGTCATAGGTAGCTTGTTTGGATAAATTCAAGTTTCCAAAGTATGCAACATTCTCACCTAAGGGGTGGGAGTCATCAAAACTCACTAGTAAAACATCTAAAGTGAACAAAGTCAAAGAATTATAGTCGCAAAAAAGTAACATTTCTTTTTGGTTTTGCAGGAGGCTCTGTGTCCTATGGTTTCTGAGTCAGCACCATGACAAACATATGGTTGTTTACAGTGGACCCAGGGACAAGGAAATCCAAGCTTGAAAGGGGGCATCTGGTCCCCACCAAGATTTATACTTCATTTTTTTCTAGTGATGCCTTCTTCTCATTCAGCTTCATAAGGCCAACAGATTTCCTACTGATAATGCTGAACACTTTTGAACCGGTGTGTGCACACACATGGCACATCTTCAATACATGGGATCAGAGTTCAAATCCAAGGCGTGTTCTACTGTTTAGGCTAAACTAACAACTCTCTCAGAGCTTCTGTGGGAATCAACTAAACCAGTAAATGGTGTCTCAAATAGAACAATCTTTGGTGACACAGGTGCCAAGAAAATATAATTGCCTGTGACAGTTTTCCCAATATTCCCAACTAGATGACCTGATGTTCTGTGTCCCTCAGAAACACTTTTTGGCTTGAGAGAGGGAAATGATTCTGAGTCCTACCCTTCCTAAGGCTTGCTAAAGCTTTTAAAATGTACTCAGGTACCACATTAGTGACTGAATTGGTACTAAAGAGTGAATAAAATGTATCTAGGTTCTCTGGACGCTAAAGTCCAATGTCTTCTCTCTCACAGTGAAAATAATTTTACTTCCAGGAGAAAAGGCATATTAAGGCTAAGTTCTGAACTAGTTTTCTATGTTTGCTTCTATTATAAGTCAATAAATATTCACCAAGAAGTTCATCTTTTCCAGAGGTTGGTGTAAGTACCCTTCCCTGACCTCACATATCTATAACATAAATGCTAGGAGCCACCTGCATTGCTGAAGAAAGGCAGATGGGGTGCAAGCTTCCATTAATGCATTCCCTGCGTTAGCCACTTCAACTCTGCTTCAAATGAGGATAAAGATGGTTTACAAAGGAAAGCAGCACAGTCCCCAGAAGCCCACAAAATAGAGTCAAAAAGCATAGAAAATCTTCATGGGCAGCAAAAGGGTTTTCCCTAGTACACTAACATAGCAGTACTAGTCTAATATTGGTCAGCCAGCTTTTCAAGGTCCAGGAGGATGAACTAGTCCATCAACCTGTCTTCTAAACTTGTCAATTCAGGGTAAAAAAAATGAGTCATGAGAAATTTTTTGACCTCCGACAGGCTGAGGGCCCAACTGCAGGTGAAATCCAGACAAATACAGTTCCCTCACAATGTAACTGTTATAAATTTAAGAAGCTGGTCTCTCTAAAAAACAAAGTTCATGCACCTACGAGCAACATACCAACATTTTACCCCAACATGGTGAGCTATTATCTGCCTTGAACTGTTTCAGCATCACAGTAGCCAGATCATCACCGTTATCCAGCCCAGTCCCAACACTTTTATGAGGTAAATGAAATCCAAATTTTAAGTTAAAAAAATGCCCTGTGCTAAATTCCCAAACAATTATCTTTGCTTACATAATATATGGGAGTCAGGGCTGGTGGATATAATTCTCTATGCAATTGCCTAATAAACTCTATCTTAGAAGGAGAATGCAAGAAATATTAAGGGAAACCCAACTTACTTGACCATTTAGAGTCAGCCTTTCTATAGGAGAAAAGCTGGGCTCTGACTCTGCGCAGGTCAAAGACTACTTAGGGCTGTATGTTCCACCCTTTGGGGGCTTCATCCCTTCACCTGTGAAGGGAGGTGATTCTAACATTCCATGGTTCCTGGAGAAGTCAGAAGAGAGACAAAATAATGCAATCAGTGTTCTTGTGTTTGGTGTATTCCCTCTTATATTATCTTATTTAGGAAAATATATTGCATTTTCCTAAATAAGATAATAACAAGAGGCCCTAAACATGAATTCCAGAAATTTTGTTCCACTGTTCTTCCTCAAGGGGCCCTCTTTGCCTTAGTGCCTTGATTGAACTCTCAGGAAATTTCAATAAGCAAGATCACCACCACCACCACTACCCACCAAAAGCTTAATGTTTAATGCTAATTATTCCTTAGCATTCCCTATATATCCTTCTCTTCCACAGACACAAAATCAATCTAATTTTTAAAAACTGGATCTCAGCCGGGCACGGTGACTCACCCCTATGATCCCAGCACTTTGGGAGGCCGAGGCGGGTGGATCACGAGGTCAAGAGATAGAGACCATCCTGGTCAACAAGGTGAAACCCCGTCTCTACTAAAAATACAAAAATTAGCTGGGCATGGTGGCGTGCGCCTGTAGTCCCAGCTACTCGGGAGGCTGAGGCAGGAGAACTGCTTGAACCCAGGAGGCGGAGGTTGCGGTGAGCCGAGATCGTGCCACTGCACTCCAGTCTGGGTAACAACAGCGAAACTCTGTATCAAAAATAAATAAATAAATAAAAATAAAAATAAAAATAAAAACTGGATCTCTCTGTTTCAAACATATTAATTTTTACTTAAAGGAAGCTTCTTCCCAGATTTATCTGGTAGGCACCTAAGCAAAGAGTTAATGCTTTAGTGTATGATTTAGTTGCAGGGCTTGAGTTAAGCTGGCCCATGAATTATCCAATGAAGAGAGGCTCCAGACTATTTGCCAGTGTCCACAAAAATAGCTTGGCATGGTGGGGAATGGAAAAAAAATTTCAATCAATTAAAATTTGCTATATTTCCTTATATTTGTAGAGCTGTTTAGACCTTACCCAGTTTTCAGGCTTAAAACATTTTCAAATCCTGAAGAAGAATGATTGGGTTATAAATTTGTAGGTGATTAAGGTAAAAAAAAAAAATTCAGCAAAGCAAACCATTTAAGGGAGGCAACCTATATGTGTTTTTCCTCACTCCTCATGACTAGACTAGTACAGCAAATGCTATTATTCTATAATAGCTAGCAATGGAATCATTAAGTGAAAATTAAGCTGGAGTTTCACGTTATCTTGAGCTGGGTTAAAAGATAAAAGAATACTGAGTTATTTAAATGGGAATCCTCAGACTAAAGATTATATTCAATTTAAAAGATTAGCTGAAAAGAGTCTAAGTGTGGCTAGGCAAAGAGGTTTCCAGAATCCTTAACCACGTCTCAACATTTATCCAGCCACTGAGGACACTGCTACAGAAACTCTATGCTCTGCGTTACCCTCCAAAACATGTTTTCTGTGCTGTGCTTCTAAACTGGAGACACCTGGAAAGGACAAATGGGCTTCGCTGTGAGTTCATGGAACACCTACTGATTTTTACCCAAGGTAAAGACCCTAGAAATGAAATAGAGGTAGACAAACAACTCTAGAGAAAAGTAAACACAAAATAAAAGTCACGGAAGTCCCTCTGAGAATGAAAAGGGAGAGAGGAATTAAATGGAAATACAAACAGTCTTTGTGATGTTACTTAACACAGGCAGCCCAGGCTGGGTCAAGATAGGTAACAGTGACTGTAGAGTTCTTAGATGGGGTCAGTTAAGGAACTGGTGTAAGTGCCCACATAATATTTTTAAGAAGGCAAACAGATTCCCTCCCTCCAAATTCTGTCATAATTTTAGTGTTCATGTAGCTTAAAAATGGCATCATACAAAACACCTCATACATGGCTGTAAGCTCAATTATCAACAGAGGTAGTAAACAAAGGAACTCCTAAGAATAGATTTTAAAATGGATCAAAGTGTGACTATACATTCAAAACCCTAGAGCCACATAATCACCCCCAAATGAACTGTTTTAATTTTAAAAAGCTTAAAAACACAATGACAAAGAAGCACTGATATGCCTTAGGCACAGTCCCAAATCAGTGCTGACTTAAAGCTATGTCCTCTCTTCCCAAGAAAAAGAAAACAGAGAACAAAGTTCAATCTACAATGGGAAGGAACAGAATGAAAACAACCAAAAGGGTGCTTTCCAGCAGCCTCGGTTATTCTTTGTTTTCAGGCCACACCACTGGAAATGCTTTTCTTCTTATATAAGTCTTTTCTTCAAAACCTTTATTTTTTTAAAACTGCCATCTGCTGAACAAGAGATGTCCACATTTCCACTGGCAGGCGATCCACTTCTATGCACAGTTTTTGCTTCCTCACTGTGAGTCTTCCTTCCCTGAAAGTGCAGAGAGCAAGCTGACACCTGCAGGGCCCAGAGCCCCGGGACTATTACAGCTCCACTTATAAAGCAGGGTGAAGGATTTGCTGCATTTGTGCTTCAAAGATCCAGCTCACTTTGCTTGTCCTTCTCAGTTGGCAAACTGCTCATAAAAAGCAAACTTGATCCTTTCTATGTGATGGCAAAGTTTGATGGCAGGGCCCAATTTTAAGTCCATGCACTCTTGAACAGTGGGTAGGGTAAGGAGCAATAGGGCCTGCCCATCAATTTCCTGTTAAAGCACAAAAGACAAATTATGATGTGCACATGAAAGGCAGCTTAATCATGACAGCCTCCCCTCACTTTAGCTTTGTCAACACTAGAGTCCCTGTGCTTTTCTTTCCTTACTTTTTTGTCTGCTTTTTAAGTGACTCCATAGTCCGCCATACTAATGAAGCTTCAGAATTATAAAGTTTTACTGAGCACAATAAAGTTTTACTAAGGATAAGAATCCATTCCACAGAGTCTATGCCCCATAGAAATTTAGTAAACGAACTAGCCCTGTAACTAACAACTAATTGTGCCATCTTTTTAGAGGGCTCCTTCTAAATCTGAAACAAAGTATTAACTATAAACTTCAATGTTTTCTTACTCTGTAACATTCATAAAAACCTGATAAGCTCTTGAGACTTCCTAATTATCTAAACAAAACTTATTTCAATGTTTAAGGCCACTGAATATTTGTGTTTCAGCAAGCTTGCCTTAAAACTGACCACCACTCTAGAGCCTAACATTACAGATGCTAATTTTTTTTAAACAAGCAAATCATTATTTTTGAAAAGATGAGGCAATTAAGCATAGTATACTTGATATTGGAGGGATGGAATAAAATTCCTAGGAAAAACTGGAATGCAGTGATAATCTGTTTCAATTATGGAGGAAATCTGATAAATAACTTTTTATCTTTTGACCTCTAAAAATGGAATTAAGACATTCTTTTCTTTTGGATCAAAACATTTTTCCTAAAACTTGTAAATAAATTGTTGACTATCACATCCATAATTCTTTGCTAAAGAGACATTACGAAAGACTATAGGGATCTGTGATTACCTGGTCTAGGAATATTCTTGCTAATGGAGCACAGTCAGTGGATCTGATGAACCGCACAACGTCTGCCACACTCCACTTCAAGGGGTTACTGTCCAGATGAAGCCTTTCAGCAACTTCAATCCTTATTTCCTTCATTCCCCACAACACAATCAAACCAAAAGATGTAAGGCTATTTTATTCTAAAAATGTCTACATAAATTCATAATCTTTCAAGACATGATTTAAAGTAGTCTCAGGACATGATTTCTCCCAGCAAAGACGGCAAAGACCCACATGCATTAGGTGCTCAGGGAATGTTTGTCTTTTATAATATGAAATATCAATGGGAATTTATTTCCAAGTTTCAGCATAGATAATTCGGACAATTTAACAAAGAAAAATAGAACACTAACTTAATTCCTGTACCTTAGTGTTATATATATGTTATATAATGTTCATAGGTATATAGTAAATATACTAAACCAAATGGCTTAACCAGAATCGAAAGGATAATTCTTTTTCTACAAATCATATATATTATGAAAAATATTAAAAAGACAGTTTTTCCAAAACTAAATGACAAGCTAAAAATAAGCTAGCCATGGAGCATTTTTTTGTTTGCTTTAGTTAAAACAAGCAGCTACTCTAGCGCACTCTTCCCCCCTATAAGTAGGTGATCTCAACTAATCCCTGAAACACATGTAAATCAATGCATTTGGGATCACTTTACAAGAGATGCTGGAAATTCTACGTAAGTCTGTACTGAAAGAAGTAGAATGCCAATATCATTAATAACCATATTCCAGAGAGAAAATCTAGAGAGAAAGAAATAAAAAAGAAACTATTTTTTAAATGGTACCTTTGGTGAAGGAGGTTTATTTTCATCATCAGAAAATGAAAAGGTGCGAAGCTCCCTTTTTCTCCTTTGTCTATCTGGAGGCAGCGATGTGGACATCTCACTTTGGGTGGGAGAGGAGGAGCATGACTTTTTTTCTGACATTTCTGATTCTTCCTGTAACTCATCCTGCTGCTCAGATGTACTGCCTTCACTTAGGGAATCATCATCCCCTTCATCTGGGTCATCCTCATCTTCACCCCCACTTCCCTGCAGGAAAAGGAGAGAAGTCTCATTGAAATTCAGGACTTCAATCTCAGGTTTCATATAATTAAAAAAAAAAAAAGGAAAGAAAGAAAGAAAAGAAATTCAGGACAAACCAGTTCCTGGGCCACAAAAACCTTCTTCTGTTGGCCAGAGATCTGAGTTAGAAAGACCTGCAGGTATTCTGTGTCCATACTATAAAGCAGTGGTCACTTGGCTTCGAGACATTACAGGCACATCACAGATGTCATTACCTGGGGAGAGCCCACTGGGGTATTATCAACAGATGCAGAGGAGCGTTTCTTCTTATGAACAAAAACATTTTTCCGCCTCTTTCTCCTCTTACTGGCTTTTTTCAGGGCACAAGCTAAGTTACTATGCCCACCAGGTGGCCTCCCAATTCTTTTATTTTTCTTCTTTCCATAATAGTGTGCTAAATGTGGATGACAAAGAAAAATGAAGTAGCTTCATTATTTCTGTGTACTTCAAAACCACAAGTGATTTTACTAGCATAGCAAAAACCAGGCACATTGTATTTGAGGTTTAATTCCATACAGTGGAACAAACAGATCTGAAGTGCACAGTTTGACTAGTACTGATAGATGCATAAACCTGAATGATCCCCCCATATCAAATTATACAAAACAACCCAGAAAGTTCCCATGGTCTCTTCCCAATCACTGTCCGTTACTAGAAGCAACCAACCACTATTCTACACATTATCACTATAGATTAGCTTTGCCTCTATGGAACTGCCCAGTAAGCACCTTTTTGTGTGTTCCTTATTTTACTAGGCATAATGTTTTTGAGTCATGTGTGTAAGTAGTTCATTCTTTTATCTTGAATAGTAACCCACTGTATGAATGTACCAGTTTACTCATTCTCCTGCTGATGGGCACTCAGGCTGTTTCCAGGTTTTGATGATCATTAATTAAGTTGCAATGAACATTCCTATACAAGGCTTTTAATGGGCATGTTTTCATTTCCTCAAATAAATAACTAGGAATGAAATTGCTGGATCATAGGGTATGATTAACTTTTAAACAAACTACCAAACAGGTTTCCAAAATGGATGTATAATTTTACACTCCCACCAACAATGCATGAGAGATCTAGTTGCTCTACACCTTTACCAACAGGTGGTACTGTCAGTCTGTCATTTTAGCCAAACTAGTGGGTATGTAGTAATTTCTCACTGTAGCTTGGACTTGCGTTTATTTTCCCTGATGACTAATAACATTGTGTACTTTTTCATGAGCTTATCAACCATTTGTATATCTGCTTTCATAAAGTGTATGTTCGAGCCTTTCATTCATTTTTAAAAATTGTTTAAAACGTTTTAAATATAATTCACATAACATAAATTAATCATTTTAAAGTATACAATTCAGAGGTATTTAGAATACTCACAATGTCATGCAACTACTAGTTTCAAAACTTCTCTTTCTATTATTGAGTTGTGGGAATTCTTAATATATTCTGGAGAGAACTTTTTTGTTGGATATCTGTATTAAGAATATTTCTCCAAGATTGTGGCTTGTCTTCCTTTTTTTAAAAGAATGGCATTATTCAAAGAACAAAAGTTTTTAATTTTGGTGATGTCTTATTTTTTAACTTTTTCCTTTATGTTAGTGTATTTCTCGGTCTTCTCTAAGAAATCTTTCACTATCCCAAGATCTTGAGGATATTTTCCTTTTCTTCTAGAAGTCTTATAGTTTTAGCTATTACATTAAGTCTATAATACATCTTGAATTAATTTGTGTGTACGCTATGAGGCAGGATCCAAAGAGTTATGTTTTATTATATGGTTTTTTCCCCTATTTGGATATATGGTTGTACCAGTGGTATCTATTAGAAAGAATTTCCTTTCTCTATTAAATTTCCTTGTCTCTCTTGTTGGAAATCATTTAACTATGTTAAGTTTGGCTCTATTTCTGGACTCTGTGGTCTGTCTCATTGTTCTATTTGACAATTTTTTAATGCCACAGTTTTGATTATTATAACTTTATGGTTAAAAAAGGAGAGACTAAGTCTTCCAACATTATTCTTTTTTCCAAATTGTTTCAGCTATTCTAGATCCTCTACATTTTCACAGAAATTTTAGAATATACATTCCAGAAATGAAACATACATATTCTAGCTCTGAGTTATATATAAAAGTAACACTAATATATTAAAGTAATATCAAAATATAATTTTATTAAAAAATTGGAATTTTCTAAAAAATATGAATCCATTTGACATCATTCAAATTACTAATTTGAAATTAGTAATTTGACAAAAAGCAAATAAAAGCTACATACCTTCCTTCCACATATTTCTTTCACAGTAGTGTACTTATACATGTACTTATATGAACAGTATTTTTAACTCAGCTCCTAATAATTGCAGTTTCCTAAACTAAGTGCTGAATCTGATACAAAGAGGCCAAGATAATTCCTACCCTAAGGAGTTTACAATCCAATAAATACAAATAGAAACCAGAAGGTTAGACTTACAAGATTTTATAATTCAAATACTGATTAGAAAGCTCCTTGTGCTAAGTATGGACCTTGGATTAGCAGCATCAGTGGCATCTGGGAGCTTGTTGGAAATGCAGACATACTCAGGACCCAGATACCCACAGACCTGATACATCAGAATCTCCATTTAAACAAGATCCTTTAGTGATCTGCATGGGCTATTGTTTCAGAGGCACAGATCCGTAAAAGATCTTTCAATTTTAATAAGGTAAAGATCCTCCTCTGTACTGATTCTCCCAAGTGACATCAGGGCTTGTAGGGTTTAAGGAAAGGTAGGATCAGAATTCTGTGTTTGGGTGGCAATGCCCTGACAAGTCTTCAAATTGTAAATTTCATCCTATATGACTCTTGCCCCAGTTTCACAAAGATAAGCAGGGACAGGGAACAGGTGCTATGACAGTTCAAGGTGAGACTGCAACTACCTCCTCTCCTATTTCCACCTCCCCAACTACTGTGGCTTCTTTGCTGCTCTCCACAGACACTAAGCAAGCTCCTGCCTCAAGCCTGTGCCCTTGATGCCCCCTCCCCAGAAGACTCCCACCCAGCTGTCTGTACTGCTGGCTCCTGTTTCCTTCAAGGTGTTACCTGTCGAAAGACTTCCCTGACCCCTTGCATAAACAGCACCCCACCTCCCATCCTTCCTCACTCTCCTACTTTGATTCCCCACCTTGCTTCACTGTTCCCCACAATACTTCTCTCTCTAAATTTCTTCCCTTGTTCATTAGCTATCTCCCACATTAAAGGTAAACTCACTGAGGATAGGAATTTGTTTTCTTTATTGTATCCCAGTGCTAGAACAGCAGAAAGACACAATAAGCACAAAATATACACTTACAGATTGTATTAATGAATTAGTATCCTGTTAGATACAATAACTAATTTAGATACATGCTATATATGAAAGTTCCTGTTAGATACAGTAACCGATTTAGATACATGCTATGTATGAGAGTTGGCACACTAAGGCCCATGGGCCAAGTCTGGCCTGGGGCCTGTTTTGGTATAGCCCCCAAGCCAAAAATGATCCTTACATTTTTATTTTTTTCCTGAGACACAGTCTCGTTCTGTCACCCAGGCTGGAGTGCAGTGACACTATCTCCGCTCACTGCAACGTCTGTCCCCTGGGTTCAAGTGATTCTCCTGCCTCAGCCTCCCAGGTAGCTGGAACTACAGGCATGCACCCCAACGCCTGGCTAATTTTTGTATTTTTTAGTAGAGATGGGATTTCACCATATTGGCCAGGCTGGTTTCAAACTACTGACCTCGTGATCCGCCCGCCTGGGATTCCCAAAGTGCTGGGATTACAGGCGTGAGCCACTGTGTTTGGCTGACCCCTACATTTTTAAAAGGGTTCTTTTTTGTTGTTGTTGAGACAGAGTCTCGCTCTGTCACCCAGGCTGGAGTGCAGTGGTGTGATCTTGGCTCACTGCAACCTTGATCTCCCGGGTTCAAGTGATTGAACAGCGTTCGCCTCCGGAATAGCTGGAATTACAGGCATGGGCCACCATACCCAGCTAATTTTTGTATTTTCAGTAGAGATGAGGTTTCGTCATGTTAGCCAGACTGGTCTCAAACTCCTAACCTCAAGTGATCCACCCACCTTGGCCTCCCACACTGCTGTGATTACAGGCATGAGTCACCAAGCCCAGCCAAAAGGGTTCTTAAAAAAATGAAAAAACAACACAACAAAAAAGAATATGTTACAGAAAGCATACGACCCACAGCATGAAATACTTCTCATCTGACCCTTTACAGAAGAATTTTGTGTGCCTCTGCTATATATGAGTATCTGTAAAGTAAAAAACTTTCCAAGATATAAGGTATGGTCAGCTGCTATAGTTAACACATTGGAAAAACATGACTCACTGTATTTGGTCTTTGTAAGTACAGAACAGTTCTCAGAACACTTATCCAGAACCATCCGTGGACCGAAGAGGTTAGGACAGCACTCCAGTTTGATACAGGTTTGCCGGCAGAATTCAGTCACCCGATCTGCTGTTTTCACTATCTCAACAGTAGCCCGATAACTCTTTCCTTTATATCTGCCATTAGAAGACATCAGATGCCAAATGTATTGGGCTAATGATTACTCAGAGAAAAATCAAACATATCAATATACCTAAAAAATATTTTTGCTTCTTGGAATATTCTGTGTCCTTTACAGTCTGAAGACCCTGCAAACAACAAGGAAGATCTGCATATTGAACTTAAATCAAATTAAATCTGGTAAGCTACGACAACTAAATGCTGAGTTATTTAAATTAGCAAAATTAAGTTCCAAGTTCCTAAGTTAAGGTTTTCAAATTTCAAACTCCTGCCGCCCAGGCTGGAGTGCAATGGCATGATCTTGGCTCACTGTAACCTCCACCTCCTAGGTTTAAGCAATTCTCCTACCTCAGCCTCCCAAGTAGCTGGGATTATAGGCATCTTCCACCATGCCTGGCTAATTTTTGTATTTTCAGTAGAGACGAGGTTTCACCATGTTGCCTAGGCTGGTCTTGAACTCCTGACCTCAGGTGATCCACCCACCTCAGCCTCCCAGAGTACTAGAATTACAGGTGTGAGCCACTACACCCAGCCTTAAATTTTGTATTTCTTGTAATTCACTGTATCATATTTTACAAATGTATTGATTCATGAAAGAATGGAAATATAAAAAAGAAAAACAAGTCTGGCCTTTCACTACAAATAGCTGAAAAAGCCCTGCCTAAAGGAACTAAGGCTTCTGATAATTATTCACAGAACTGATTCTGTGAATTTATTTATTTATTTATTTTGAGACAGAGTCTCTCATCGTCACCCAGGCTGGAGTGCAGTGGCGTGATCTCTGCTCTCTGCAACTTTTGCCTCTCGGGTTCAAGTGATTCTCCAGCCTCAGCCTCCCAAGTAACTGGGATTACAGGCATGTGCCACCGTGCCTGGCTAATTTTTGTATTTTTAGTAGAGACAGGGTTTCACCATGTTGGCCAGGCTGGTCTCGAATTCCTGAGCTTGTGATTAGCCCGCCTCAGCCTCCCAAAGTGGTGGGATTACAGGTGTGAGCCACCATGCCTGGCCGGTTCTGTAAATTTGTAAAGACAAGTAGTCTACTTACTTGGCTTTTAGGACTTCCCCACATCCATGCCACACAGAGTCTTTGTCCAGCTGGAGCTCCCGAAGGACACGGCTGGGTTTGTAGGCTGCATTGATAAGTAAAGTGAGGACCTGAGCTCAGTTTTAAAGCAGAAGCACAGATTGGGAAGGAGAAAAGCAGACCATTAGAATCTTGTCATCTCTCTCTTAAAATGTTAAGGTCACTTAGGAGGTTAATTCTAGTCACATGAATTAACAAATGTTTTATTTATTTATTTATAGCTCATTAGCTATCATGAACTAACAAATGTTAACAAAATAATAATATCAGAGATATGACAGTCACCCAAAGATGCAAATAAGAGGGTAACCAGATCCTCTTCAACATTTTCAAAATGTTACAGTTAAAAAAAAAAAACAAAAACGAAAAAACAAGCACCATGATTTTCAAATTGCTCCAGAATATGCTTTCCCAGCCATGGCACACACAGAAAATTATATTTGTTTGGACCGCTGTGCAGACAGCTGAGCCTTCTTGTGGCTAAAGGAGTCTGGTCCAGAGGCTCTGGCTTCCCCAGACCCTGATGGCTGAAAGGTCTCTTATCTGTTACTTGCAGTATATCACACTGGCTACACAGTATATCACACTGGCCGCTAGGTTAATGCCACACAGCCTCTCAGTCATAGAGTAACCTCACAGTTCACTTTTGTACAGTTCTCTTGGGTCTCTGAGAGAAGACCTTTCTACCCTGACCGAGGTGAACCTGCTTTGTGAAGAACTGTTTACATGAATGTTTCCTAGGGAGTAAAAATAATTACATGCCCTCTTCGCTGTCCAAAACATGAGGAAAGTTAGTCACTTGATAAAACCTAGTACTGTCAAATCTATGGCATGTGGCTCCCTGCAGAAATGACCCTAGCAGAATGCTGTGAAATTTCCAAGTTATTCTGTCCTAGGCCAGAACCTTACCTCTCTAAGGACTAGAACACAGTTCCCAGGTCCTACACATTGAGGCAGCTCAGCAATTCTTCCTTTGTTAAGATATGGCCCTGAGAAGCAACGGTGGTTGAAGTATATCTTTGGACAGCAATATTTTCCATTAATCATAACTGGGAAATGAAGAGAAACAAAATATTCAAAACAGTCATTCTCCACCCCATGCTTCCAAAGCTGAACTGCCAAGGAGGAAAAAACAAGCATATGTATCATTATATTAACAGGAAGTTTGGAATTACTTATTTTGACGCTTAACATGGTGTCTGAGAATGCTCTTAAAATAACTTACAGAGCTTATCACTCTGCTGAACTCAAACAGGCTCCTGAATTACATGCTGATCAGTTCCTAGGTTACTGCAAAATTGATAGAACCATGTCTTCTATCAATAAAGAAAGTGCAGGGTATATTTTAAGAACCCATGAAGATTCTAGATGATCAATGATTTCTTTTCCAGGTCTTCAAAAACCAACTATTCAATAATCTATTCTGGAATATTTATAGAAATTGTTGATTATTATTTAGAATTACAGTTTGTCTCCTAAAAAACCACCAAACTAGTATGTTGGCAGCCTTTGATGTTGTGAGAGCTCTCCCATCTCTGAGATTTCTCAGGGGGCTAAAAGTATGCTGTGACCACATCTCTAAAATTCAAAGACACTAAAACACTGCTATAAAACACAGAGAAGCTCTTCTAAGAGATATGCCTGTCAATCCAATGTCAAGGAAAGATATGTGCACACTGCCCATTGTTGATAGGATCCTGCAGTTCATAATATTCTTTGTTTTGTTTTTGAGACGGAGTTTCACTTTGTCGCCAGGCTAGAGTGCAATGGCGCAATCTTGGCTCACTGCAAACTCTGACTCCCAGGTTCAAGAAATTCTCCTGTTTCGGCCTCCCAAGTAGCTGGAATTACAGGCATGCGCCACCACACCCAGTTAATTTTTTTATTTTTAGTAGATACGGGGTTTTACCATGTTGGCCAGGTTGGTCTTAATCTCCTGACCTCATGATCCACTCACCTCAGACTCCCAAAGTGCTGGGATTACAGGTGTGAGCCACCACATCCGGCCCAACATTCTCTCTTAATTAAGAATGTTCATGGCCAGGTGTGGTGGCTCATGCCCATAATCCCAGCAATTTGGGAGGCTGAAGTGGGAGTGGATCAACTGAGTCCAGGAGTTTGAGACCAGCCCGGGTAACATAGTGAATCCCCATCTCTACAAAAAAAAAATACCAAAAAAAAAAAAAATCAGCTGCACATGGTGGCATGTGCCTGTAGTCCCAGCTACTTGGGAGGCTGAGGTAGGAGGATGGCTTGAGCCCAGGAGGATATGGAGGTTGCAGTGAGCTGATATCACACCACTGCACTCCAGCCTGGATGACAGTGACACAGCACAACCCTGTCTTAAAAAAAAAAAGGAGGATGGTCTATCACAGTGGCCAGTATGCTGGTACCCACATTTTCAGTTGAATCCTGCAACCCAGATCCCTCTCTTCAGGATTAAAGCACTCATGCCCCTGCTGCTGGGCATGCTGGCAGCTTACAGCTCTCAGTTTTAAGTCTATTCTGGAATCACCCGGAGCTGGGTACTTCTCTCAGCAGGAGAGGGCCATCTTGTCCCTTGTGAGGTGTGGAGAGAACAGTGGCTTACTTCCAATAACTGGTCAGTAAAGTGTGGCCACCACACCTGGATTAGGATCAGTTCTGAGTGGTTAGATGAGCTTCAGGCCTCCCAGTGGAACTAGAAGAAACCATGAAGCAACTGCATCATGGTTCAACTTATCTCTCTGCCCCAATCTTACTTCCTTTACTCCTTGTGCAAGGAGCTGTTCCGAAAAATCCTGCCCAGTGAAACCCCTGCATGCATATGTCAGAGTCTCAGACTCAGGTTTCCCAGGGAACCTGACCTATGATGAAACCCAAACCAAAAGGCCTTGGCTAAGGTTGCGTATAAGATATTAATGTCTTAAATTCTCTGATTTCAGTAGGCATTTGAATGCCCAGCAATGCATCAAAAGCAAGGACTTACACAGCCCTAACCCTCTATGTACAAATGATGTAATGAAAAGGCAGTGAGTAGAAGACATGGAAGTATGGGTTTCAAATTCGTGAAAGACTTCAGTTTCGTTTCTGACCTTTCTACTCATAAGCTGTGTGATCTCCCTGAGCTTTGATTTCTCTTCTAGGCACTTACTAAATATCATGTGAATCCCCAATCTGTGTTAGAATACACACAGCCAACATGCTAAACATTGTATAACCAGCACAGGGAAGTTAAGAATAGTTAAAGAGGACAGGCGTGGCAGTTCACGCCTGTAATCCCAGCACTTGGGAGGCCGAGGTGGGCAGATCACAAGGTCAGGAGTCCGAGACCAGCCTGACCAACATGGTGAAACCCCATCTTCACTAAAAATACAAAAATAAGCCGGGCGTGGTGACACCTGCCTGTAATTCCAGCTACTCAGGAGGCTGAGGCAGGAGAATCACTTGAACCTAGGCAGAGGTTTGCAAATCTAGGCAGTGGTTGCAGTGAGCCTAGAGTATGCCACTGCACTCCAGCCTGGACAACAGAGCGAGACTCTGTCTCAAAAAAAAAAAAGAACAGTTCAAGAGAGAACCCTGAACCTCCAGCAAGGATCTTTCAGCAAAGGCTTGAACCCTCAGCAAGGATCTTTCTCTCATTTATCAGGCATTGCCTCTGGGACAATCTCTTTTACTGGTGCAATATTTATTTTTTTTAACATAAATTGTGAAATTTATATTCAAAGTATACATATCATAAAAAAGGTTTTAAAAAGAATAAACCTCTACCTCTCAACCACCTAGCTTAAGAAAGAACACTGTCTGGAAAACTTCAGGTTCTTTAGCTAAAGTCAAGGATGGTAACATCGACCTTCTGAGCCTTTGGCACACAATGAGTGATCAGTGAAGAACAGCTACAATTATTAGAAATGATGGAAACATCAGCTTAGAGATGATTATTAAACACACCCTAGACCATTATAACTCTAAAGTCACAATTAAGAGACACCTCTATGAAGTCACATCCTATAAATCAAATGTACTGTTTTAAGTTATTTTTGGATATAGTCTATTAAAAGAAACTAAGTCTTCTTTTCTGTAAGACAACGTGCTTATACCTGACTCTGTGGAGTTCAGCTCCTGATTCCTCAGGCCCTCGTGGACAGTCCTCGAGGACGGTACTCTGGGTCAAGAAAACACAATAAAATAGTGAGATAATCCTTAAGATCAGTAAAGTATAAGGGTTAGTTTCCTTGAAATCTAAGAAGAAAGCAAATGTGGCATGCTGTAAAATCTGTAACAGAAGGTAATCCTATGACAATACTTTTTTTTTTTAAAAAAAGAGCTATTGCTTTTAAAACTGTATGTAAGACATAATGAGCCAATGGACAGTCTGTATTTAATAGCATTGTGATACTACATCTTCAAATTTTCTCTTCATTAATTGGGCAAGAAATTACAAAATTTCTTGTGAGATACTTAAACCACAAACAAACTACTCATTTTTCAAGTCAAAGAACAGATACTTTATATAGGGTCTGTTTTCTTTATCCATTGGTTTTCAAATTAAAGATAAATTATGTTATTTAATAAAAACCCAAAGACTTATTCTGTATATAGCAATCAGTGAAAAAGGCTAATTTGTCTTTTTTTCTTTTCTTTTTTTTTTTTTTGAGACAGAGTCTCACTCTGTCACCCAGGCTAGAGTGCAATGGTGGTCTCCGCTCACTGCAACCTCTGCCTCCCGGGTTCAAGTGATTCTCCTGCCTCAGCCTCCTGAAAAGCTGGGATTACAGGCATGTGCCAACATACCCAGCTAATTTCTGTATTTTTAGTAGAGATGGGGCTTCGCTATGATGACCAGGCTGATCTTGAACTCCTGACCTCGTGATCCACCCACCTCGGCCTCCCAAAGTGCTGGGATTACAGGTGTGAGCCACTGCACCGGGCCCTAATTTATCTTTTAGAATGCATCCTAACTAAAGCTTTGGATCAGTTTTGGCAACTAAGTCAAGGAAAATCCAAGGCCAGTCTTTTTTTCATTGTTATCTCACTTCTCTACCTGGGATAAATGTCTATGGCCTTTCTCTCTACTTCTGTTGTTAGTTTTATTACCCACATAGTTACAAAGGTTAAAGAATTTGCTATATACAGAATTGTTTCCCCCTACTCAGATTCGTATGTTGAAGCCCTAGTGCTCAGTGTAACTGTATTTGAAGATAGGGCCTTGGAGGAAGTCATTAAGATTAAATGAGGTCATAAGGGTAGGCTGTAAGCCAATAGCATGGATAGCCTTATAAGAGAGGCGTGTCGGGTACCAGGGGAGAAAGATCTTTCCACCATGGAAGGACACAGCCAGAAGACAGCCATCTGCCATCCAGGGAGAATGCCCTCACCAGGAACCAAATCCATTAGCACTTTGATCTCGAATGTCCCAGCCTCCAGAATGTGAGAAAATAGATTTCTGTGGCTTAAAGCATGGGTCCCCAATCCCCAGGCCATGAACCAGTACCCATCCATGGCCTGTTAGGAATGAGGCCACATAGCAGGCAAGGGAGCATTACGGCCTGAGCTCCGCCTCCTGTCAAATCAGCAGCAGCATTAGATTCTCCTAGGAGTGTGAACCCCATTGTGAACTGGGCATGTGAGGGATCTAGGTTGCATGCTCCTTGTGAGAATCTAATGCCTGATGTTCTGAGGTGGAACAGTTTCATCCTAAAACCATTTGCCACCCTGGTCTGTGGAAAAACTGTCTTCCATGGAACTGGTCCCTGGTACCAAAAACGCTGGGGACCACTGGTTTAAAGCTGCCCAGTCTGTGGTATTCTGTATGGCAGCCCCAGCAGAGTAATAGAGAATTCAACACCCAATGTTCTAAAATACACATATGTACACAGAAACCTTTGTACTTTTAAGGTTTGAAGACACTACTCATTAACTATTTCTCAAAAGCTGTGTGTGCAGGTATGTTACGAAGAATTCCTTGATGGGCACAAAGCCACTCCTTTTGAGTGTGTCTTTTCTTTTAGAGTTGTCTTCTATCCCAAGCTTATTTTTTTTCCACTGTGACAATTTATATCCTAATTTACAATTTTTGCTCTCCCTTAATGAATACCAGCATGAGGACTCTTATTTTCTTTCTTTTATTCAACTACCTTAAGGCTCTAAAAACGAAAGAAAACTCAATTTAGAGAACATCTTGAGAATGTATTTTACCCTTTTGTATATAATGCCATTTTAGAAAATGCATATACTGCAAGAAGTATACAAATGATCAAATGTTAAATTAAAAAATTATGCTCTGTCTGTGAAAATGAGGAAATATACCTCTGAAATAGTTATTTCTTTTTCTAGATATTCTAACTTACAAATGTCAACTGTTCAGACATGTTATTACATTACTTACTGTTTTTCTGGCTGCACCACTGCAATTTTCCTCTGTTTATGTACTGTTGAAAGAAAAAAATATCTAAGTGTCAAGAAAAAGAGAAAGAGAAAGGAAAATATAGACGTGTATCAAGGTTACATTACCATATTAAAATCTGGTTGTGTGTGTGTAGTACTATAAATTAATGCTATGTCTGAATATCTAGACTGAGGTACATTTTCTTGGTAGGAGTCTTTATACAAAGAGCAAAAATAATATTTTCAAGGCTCCCTGGATCAGTAAGTGTTGGGAAAGCTGAATATCCACATGAATGAAGTTGGATCCTTACCTTGTATCAGCGGTCCCCAACCTCTTTGGCAACAGGGGCTTGCTTCATGGAAGATAATTTTTCCATGGACCAGGGGCTTGGGGGTGGTTTCAGGATTAAACCGTTCCACCTCATGCAACCTAGATCCCTTGCATGCACAGTTCACAATAAGGTACGGGCTCCTATGAGAATCTAATGCCCACTCCCCGATCTGACAGGAGGTGGAACTCAGGCACTAATGCTCGTTTGCCTGCCACTCACCTCCTGCTGTGTGGCCCAGTTCCTAACAGGCCATAGGACCGTAGTGGTCCATGGCCCAGGAGTTGGGGACCTCTGCCTCATATCATGTATAAAACTTAACCCAAAGGGGATCAAAGATCTAAATGGAAATGTAAGGGTTAAAACTATAAAACTCACAGAGAAAAGCACAGGAGAAAACTATAAAACTTATTCTTAATAGTCAAAAAGTGAAAACAATTCAAATATCCAAATAGATAAACAAAATGTGTTATATTTATAGCATGGAATATTCTTCAGCTATATAAAGGAATAAAGAATGGATACACACAACAACATGGATAAATTCTGAGAGTAGTATGCTAAGGGAAAGAAACCAGTCACACAAGACCATGCATTATATGATCCCATTTATATGAAATGTCTAGAACAGGCAAATCTATGGAGACAGAAAGTGGATTTGTGGATGCTGGGGGTGGGGATTGATTGCTAATGGGTATAGGGTTTCTTTCTGAAATGATAAAAATGTCCTCAATCTGACCGTGGTGATAGTTGGTATATCAATTATATCTCAATAAAGCTGTTTACAAAGGGGGAAAATGGGTTGCTGCTTTTGAGATTAGGTTGCAGAAAGACTCTGGCTTCCATCTTCCTCAATCTCTCTTGCTCTCTTGCTTCCTCACTGTGATAGAAGCCAGGTGCTCATGCTGTGAGCTGCCTTATGAAGAGGCCCATGTGGCAAGGAACTAAAGGAAGGCTCCAGCCAACACCCAGCAAGGAGCTCAGACCCTCAGTCCAACAGCCCACAAGAAGATGCATTTTTGCTGCTATGGTCTGAATGTCTGTACTCTCCAAAATTCATATTGAAACTTATCCACCAATGTGCTGGTATGAGAAGATGGGGCCTCTGGAAGGTGAAGAAGGGAAGGTCAGGCTGGGCGCAGTGGCTCAAGCCTGTAATCCCTGCACTTTGGGAGGCCAAGGCAGGCGGATCACAAGGTCATGAGATCGAGACCATCCTAGCCAACATGGTGAAACCCTGTCTCTACTACAAATACAAAAAAAATTAGCTGGGCGTGATGGAGTATGCCTATAGTCCCAGCTACCCGGGAGGCTGAGGCAGGAGAATTGCTTGAACGTGGGATGCAGAGGTTGCAGTGAGCCGAGATTGTGCCCCTGAACTCCAGCCTGGCACCTGGCGACAGAGCAAGACTGTCTCCAAAGAAAAAAAAAACAGGGAAGGTCAGAAGGGCAGAGCCCTCATGATTTGGATTAGTGCTCTCATAAAAGAGACCCACAGAGCTAGTAATCCCTTCTACCATATGAGGACACAACAAGAACCAGGAAATGCGCCCTCACCAGACACTGAATCTGCCAACACCTGGATCTTGGGCTTCCTGGTCTCTAGAACTGTGAGTAATTTCTGTTATTTATAAACTTCCCAGTGTATAGTATTTTGTTACAGCAGCTAGAATGCACTAAGACACTTGCCAATAATCACCTGTGTATAAAGCGGGGAGCAGATCCTCCCACATTGAGCATTGAGATGACTTGAGCCTTGATGCCTTGAGCCCAGCCCATGAGAGACTCAGATCCAGAGGACCCACCTAAGTTGCACCCAAATTTCTGACCCACAGAAACTGTAAGGTATTAAATATTTGTTACAATAAATAATTTCCTGTATAGGAACAGATAACCAGAATGTCATTTTGTTTTTCTCTGAAATGTCCAGATTAGTGTTAATTGGTAACAGCCACACAAAAGATTATTTAACAATCAATCCTCTAACCCAGAAATAGATACCTCGTGCTCGGCGAGGAGTGCTGAGGGGGTGGCCGTTGGTTTCACACCAGCCCAAAGGAAATATATCCATGGATTCCACACTCACAATACATTCAGGTATAGGCTTCTTAGAACCTGTTTAGATTTAAAAAAAAAATACACACATACTTTTCTTTAGACCATTAAATAACCTTCTTCATAAATTATTTCGTAGATAATATTCTACGCAGACACAATCTCTTGACACAGAAGTCATACATTTTAATGTATGATAAACAACATAAAAAAAAGTAAACTGTCCCCCATGTAAAACTGTAATGGGACAAAAATGGGTAGTGAACATACAGGGTAACACTTAAGCTAGGGAGGGATTAGGAAATAAGAAACTGGAACTACCACTGGTGTCATTCAGATGGTTAATAAATATCACAGTCATTTCAGACAAATATGGAAACCAAGTGGCAAAGGTGACAATTGTACTCAATGAGAACATTAGTTCTGGTACTTCAGGAATAAACCAGAAAAGAAAAACAGTGAATTCAAATCAGGAAGTGATTTGGTAAGTTGATGAAACAGGATTGAATAAAAGCCTACATTCAATATTATCCTTGACATCTGCATTAAATGCCAATTCTACAAATCAGAAACAGTAGGTACCTTCTCAAAGTCTATTTGGCAGCAAGATAAAAAAAGCAGGTCCTTGATCAGATCAAAATATATGATATTTGACTTATATTTTCCCCTTCCAGAAAATAGGGAACTCTGTAGTAAAAGATTTTTATTCATATTCATTTCCTAAAATTTGTAATTTGAAAGCCAAGGACAGGAAAATAAATGTTTCACTTAGAGTCTTGCATTTTACAAGTCTCTGGAGATCCCTATTTAACTAATCCATTAAGTTTAACAGACCACATTATGGGAGTAAACAGAAAGCTCAAAGGAGAGTGGCTTCTGAAGCTGGTACTCACCCTCCAACTGGAGCCACAGGTAGGAGCCTCTCACTGCAGTGATGGTAGCAACACATACTTCCTCAGGGAGAAGAGGGTTCACTGCCTCAAGTTTCATGTTCTCCTTAAATTCGTGCTCAGAAATTAACTAGAAAATGAATGAATCAAATCCATTTACTGGATTAACACAGTATTAACTCATGTGCTCAGCTAGAAAACCTTTTCCAAGTAGTATTTAATCCCTAAGTTTAATTCAAAGATATAAATTTATTTTGCACTGTTTTACTTTTTAATGAAGCAAAAGGAAAATGTCTGCCTTTCTTGGTGTTATAGGAAGCATGCTCTTTGAGGTCAGATATTCCTGCATTACTGCTACCTGTAGGACCTTGCTCAAGCTGTATAAATCTCTTTTTGCCTCAGTTTCTTCACCTGTCAGATAAGGTTGAGAATTCCTATCTGGCTGTACTATTACAAGGTATCAATGAAATAAAGTCTCTAAGGCTCTATGTCCTGAACCAAGTGGCTATCAACACTGTTGACTCACCTTCCCTCATAAATCACCCTATCATACCACAGACTGTCTGGTTCATACTTGTATGTGTATCATAAAAAGCATTCAGGATAAAGAATGCTTATCAACAGTGGCAAAGGGTCATTTAAAACAGAAAAATATCCAGCAACTGAGTCAAAATGGACAACTGAACATTTACATTTGAGTGTTTTCTGACATCTAACTTAAAAACAAAAGTTGTTTTTTGTTTGCTTCTGTTTTGAAGACAAAAACTTAACATCTACCTTATGATGGATATAACAGGAGAGAAAACAACATTTTATAAGCTAAAATTTAGAATAGGGTCTAGAAACTAAGTTAAAGAAAGGTGAATCTAAGCTGGCAGTAAAGAAAGCTAAGAACTGGAAGAACCAGGGTCTAGGCAACTGGAGGTAGAGAAGAAATAGTCAAAACAAGGAGAATCTGTTGAAAACATTTAAGAAACATTTAGGACATGCCATTGGCTCGACTCCATGCATCAGTGAAAGCGTCCCTTCCTCTCCCCTACAGAAGATGAGGTTTATCTTCTGGACAGGGTAAAACAGAAGATACCTAGGCAAGGGGACACAAGGAGCTGCTGAGGGCATGCATGTCATGACAAAAATAGTTGTTAGCCTATAGACTGCTGAGAGGCCCAGCCCTCAGCCTCTACCCACCAGACAGGGGACTAGAAGACACTTCTTATGGTGATGGGATAACCCCAAGAAGGAACACATAATGATATGGATTCAGGTTTCTCCAACAAAGGGCCAACCAGATTCCACCCTATAGGAAAATTCAAGGTTGACAAGTTCCATCTACCTGCTCAGAGCTTCCAAGCAGTTTTTCCTTTTAGTCACCCATTCTTAAATATAGCAACAATCGACAATTACCAGATACCTAAGAAGATGAAAGTTAGAGACCAAAACAGACAAGCAACTTGGAAAGAGCAGTGGTTATACAAGAAGAAAACTTCCCAAAAGGTAGGAGGGTGGGATGGATTAGGGGTGTTAATTAACATCCTTTGAGAGATAAGAAAAACTATCGCATCCTTAGAGCAAGAATCGTATGATATTAAAAATAAAGAACTACTCAGAGATCCAGAAAATAAAAAAATGGTGTCAAAAATTAAAACCTCAAAAGGCAGGCTGAAAGACAAAGTTTAGGACACCTTTCAGAAAAGCAAAAAGACTAAGAAACATAAAACAGGAGATAAAAAGGTAAGAAAAGCAGAGGTTTTGATCCAGAGGGCCAACAGCCAAATAAAAGAACTTCAAGAAAGAGAAAAGAGACAAAACGGAAAGAAGAAAATCAAAGAAGTGATTCAAAAAAATTTCCCAACACAGAAAGGCATGAAGGTCCAGAAAGTGCCCACTGAGAACCCAGCACAGCAATAAAAACAGGCTCACATCAAGGTTCATCACCATGAAAAGTGGTTCTACAAACCTTCCGGGGGTGGGGGGGGAAAGCAGGTCATCTACAAAAGATCAAAATTAAGAAGAGCTTTATAGCTTTTAACTTCTTGACAGTAACACTAGAAATCAGAAAACAACTGAGCAATGTTTTCAGAATTCTCAAGTAAAATAACTTCCACATTGAGCCAAACTGTGAATCAAGTTAGTAGAGTGAAGACATTTTCAAATACAGTGTCAACAAAAATTTACCTCCCTTGCACCCTGTTACAAGAAGCTACTGAGAGATGGGGATCCATTAAAACAAGGAAGCAAACCAAGAAAGCAGAAGCCATGAGAGCTCTACCAAACAGGGGACTCCAAATCATACAAAAGGGGACTGGGCAATTCCCTGGGTGACAAGGGCATTTCCATGATTAAAACTACATGGTAAGGTCGGGCACAGCAGCTCATACTTGTAATCCCAGCACTTTGGGAGGCTGAGGCGGGTGGATTACTTGAGGTCAGGAGTTTGAGATCAGACTGGGCAACATGGTGAAACCCCATCTCTACTAAAAATACAAAAATTAGCCAGGCATGGTGGGGGGGCGCCTATAATTCTAGCTACTCAGGAGGGTGAGGCAGGAGAATTGATTGAACCTGGAAGGTGGAGGTTGCAGTGGGCCGAGATTGCACCACTATACTCCAACCTGGGTGACAAGAGCAAAACTCTGTCTCAAACAAAAACAAAAACAAAAAACCCTACATGGCAAGCCTAAAGAGCAACCCATCCAGAGAGACAGAGAGTGGAGGGCGCTAAGAGGGATGTCTCTTTAACAAAAGTGTTAGGATTGACAAATTTCCTGATGTGAGACTACTGGGAGGTGTGAAAGAAACAGCAGCAGATAAAAGAAAATTAAGTAAATTAAAAACAAGGCGATCACTATTGAGGATAATTTTTTTTTTTTTTTTTTTTGAGACAGAGTTTCGCTCTTGTTACCCAGGCTGGAGTGCAACGGCGCAATCTCAGCTCACTGCAACCTCTGCCTCCTGGGTTCAGGCAATTCTCCTGCCTCAGCCTTCTGAGTAGCTGGGATTACAGGCATGCGCCACCATGCCCAGCTAATTTATTGTATTTTTAGTAGAGACAGGGTTTCACCATGTTGACCAGGATGGTCTCAATCTCTTGACCTCGTGATCCACCCGCCTCGGCCTCCCAAAGTGCTGGGATTACAGGCTTGAGCCACCGCGCCCGGCCGAGGATAATTTTTTTAAAAAAAGAAACAAGCATAAAATACTGCAGTGCAAGGTGTGGTGGTTCACACCTGTAATCCCAGCACTTTGGGAGGCTAAGGCGGGTGAATCACTTGAGGTCAGGAGTTCCAGATCAGCCTGGCCAACATGGTGAAACCTCATCTCTACTATAAAAACGAAAATTAGGCGGATGTGGTGGTGGGCATCTGTAATTCCAGCTACTTGGGAGGCAGAGGCCAGGAGAATCACTTGAACCCAGGAGGTAGAGGTTGTAGTGAGCTGAGATCATGCCACTGCACTCCAGCCTGATTGAGAGAGCAAGACTCCATCTGAAAACAAAACAAAACACTGCAGTACTTAGCCGTGAGTAATATTTGAATGCATATTATAATGTAAAAATTCATTTTATATTTAACCAAAAATTGTAATATAACTCTAAAGGAAGAACTGGGTAAGACAGAGAGGAAAGGTAATAAAAAACAGCTAAATTCTCATTTATCATAATATACAACCAATAGACTCGGCACCATAAGACAGGGCAAATTTAATTTGTTTTAATAAAGTCAAAGGTTTTAAGTTAAAACCAACAGACATGCTTAAAATAAATGACTGAAAAGATAGAGGCATTTTATTTTGAAAATGAAGAAATACAAATACCAGAATTACAGTGAGAACAGGAAGTAGTTACTTCTGGGAAGGAAGAGTGTGAAAAGGGATAGGGTGGGGACTGTTTTATCTTCTAAGCCTATTACTGCTACATGGCTTTTTAAACCATATGCATGTATTATTTGGAGAGAAGAAATATATATTTTTTGAGAATATTTTTAAATAAGCTTAACGATTTTTCTCCACTTAATATTTCAACAGTTTCTCCTATTACTGAATCATGAAAAATAATCATACATTTTCAAATTCACATGATTTTAGCTACAAAAAAAACCGATAAACTTGTAAAACTAACTTAATTAGCAAACTAACTGATTCACGCCTGCAGTAATTGTATTTTCCTTTGGACCATGTGATTACAATCACCACTGTGCTCATCTGCATTGAGCGAGATGATTATCTTCAGAGGAGTAACCATGGAAGAAAGCAAGGGAAGCACAGCAGTCCCTGCAGCCCCGAATAGTGGCCATGAGGGCATGGGGGTCCTCACCGGAGGGAAGCACCTCTGGGGAGCAGCTTCAGCACCACACTGTTTGAGGTAGTCAGCCCAGTCAAAGTCCTGGCTCAGGTAGCCTAGGTGGGGACAAAGGAACAATGATTTACATCACCACACTGCATGCTTGCCTGGCTTCACCACTCTCCAAAGGTCCACTCAACTTCCAATGCTGCTAGTTTGACAACTTCGATCATTTTAAATTTTCAAATGTCAAACTAGGCATTTATTTTGAACACTATTTTATATGATTAGTTGCTGGTAATTTACCAAAATAATTTAAGACAGTTATGACTGGATTTGATTTGTATACATAAATCCACTTACTGTCAATTCTAAAGGGACTTAGGCTCTTAAGAAAAATGACAGCAAACAGTACTGGTTAGTCTGCAAATACAAAGACTTTTTTCTTTATAAAGCTATTTCCTGAAATGTGTTTCAGATATCACTGATACAAATGCTCTTGTCATTTCAGATCCATATACTACAGAATATCAATGCTTATATAATCTGAATCATGTGTTTATTTCAGAAAAAACAAGCTTAGCGCCCCACTTAAGTCTACCAAGGTTCTTGATGGAAGCATCTCCAAGCTGCTGCTGACTCAGCACCATCTGCATGCAAAGAGCTCAGTGAGGCCCAACTGCCTACTGTGCCTGAGTTGCTCTCAGCCTCCAGAGAGCCTAATGTCTCACAGGCAAAAAAAAAAAAAAAAAATAAGCTAATCAAGTCTATGTCCTCTGACAGCCTAATAGTCCCTGCCGACCTGAGACTGGCACCAAGTTCTCCCTTTGCCCCCACCTCAATTCCTGACAGTACATTTTCTGCCATGTTCAGTTATGTAATCTATTACCTTCTCTCTGTTTACAAAGACACGGTTGGCTTGTCTATAATAACACTGAAAGCTTCAGTATTTTTAACAATTGTTTCTTCTTTTTCACATAGAGGAGGCAAGCAGAGTAAAGAACTTAGGATATCCAGAGCTGTCCTGCAAAGCAAAAACTTCCTTCTGTGGCTGTTCCACACCACACCCTTCAACCAGGCACTCATCTGCTGTGTTCACTGATGGAGGAGAATCTAGGAAGTTCTATTAATATTTCCCCTATTTGTTCCTTAAAGGGACTGGGCTGTATTCACGAAACTTGTCACTCTCCCCAGGGACAAGGTCAATGCCTGGGTTATAGAAAACATTACATAAATGTTTGTTGGATGAATAAAGGCTGAATGAAAGACAAAAGGTTCTGAGTTTATGAACCGTGTTAACAAGAAAGACCACCTCTACCCCATTGTTGCAGCATTCACCATTTAGAAAGTGATGCTAGGCTTTACTGAAAACCTACTAATAACATATACATAGACTGCCAATCAAATAATCTGATTTGCTAATATTAAAAAATCAACATCTAACACTTTTAGATTTTCTAAGTTTAAAAATATTAAATATTTCAGTGAAGCTCAATTAACCCGTTAATTAAGAGCCTGAATTAAAGGATCAAAGACTATATTTTGCAAAGTTGCGAATATCAGGAAAATGAGCTTTTATTTTCCTACCTACTGCTCAAATCCTACTCTTTATCATAAATGTCTCTCTAAAAAGTCCCATCCATGATAAGACCCAGACACCTAAAGATAATCAGTAATCTACCTTCTACCTCTGGGTCTACGGCCTCTTCTCAAAAACCAGCCCCCTAATCCTCACTGTGAATCCAAGCCCACTCCTTTGCCACCCCTAACAGACACAAAGGGACTAAGGAGCCTGCACAGAACCCAGGTTGGAACCTGGCCTTCTAGAGGGTTATGAGGACATAGATATCAAAGTCAGAGGATAGATAGAACACACTCTCTTTAACAGTTCTTTAGCTCAATGTATAACTTTCAAATATGTAAATATATGGAATCTAGACCTTTCCTTATACTTGTCTCAGACCCTAAAAACATTGGAACAAACTGGGACATGAGGAGAGGACCTAAAGATTTAGGGAATGCCATCTGACATGTCTTATTTCAAGGAAAAGCTCTCAAGTAACAACTCAGAGCGAATGTGCACCTGGAGGGGGGCTGATGTTTAGGCCATTCTTCAGACTCCACTGCACAGGGAAGATGCCAGGACTGTCGGCATGGCACACAAAGGATCGCCGGGCGTGGTTCTCAGGTCGCAAGTCATCCATTTCCACCAGAAAGTACTTCTCATCAAAAACCTATACATGCAATTAATAGATGAAATAGACAAAAGCACACATACATATGTGCTTTTTCCTTGGCACAGCCAAACACATTATAAAAGCTCATAGTTATGCTGGGTATTAATACTAAACATTTCATAAATGTTAGCTCTGTGTTACAGAATACATAAACATATAATTACTGCTTTAATTAAATGCTTTTCACGTATCAATTCAGTTTTAATCTTAATCTAATGAGGTATCGTTATATACATATACATACATATATATATAAACATACATACATACACACACACACACATACATATATACACACATACACACACATATAAAATTCTTTTTTTAAAACTGAATCTTGCTCTGTTACCCAGGCTGGAGTGCAGTGGCATGAACGTGTCTCACTGAAGCACTGCAGTCCTGACTTCTGGGCTCAGCTGATCCACCCACTTCAACCCCCCTCCCCCCACCATGAGTAGCTGGGACAACAGGCATGCACCACCACACCCAGCTAATTTTTAATTTTTGTAGAGACAGGGGTCTTGCTATATTGCCCAGGCCAGTCTCAAACTCCTGGCCTCAAGAGATCCTCCTGCCTCAGCCTCCCCAAGTGCTGAATTACAGGCATGAGCCACCACACCTGGCCCAAGTACCATTATCAACTCCATTTCACAGATAAGGAGAGTAAGTTCAAACAGAGGTTAAATAACTTGCCCTACATTATAAAATGAGAAGAAGCAAAACCTGGATCCAAACCCATGTAGGTGGGCTCCAAACAGAATATAGTTTAAGCTTAGTGAGAAGCTTAGTTTAAGCTTATGCTACTATGTATTAGTTTTTCAAATCCTAGCCCATTTTCAAATGCCAAAGAGAGAACTTTATGAACCTCCTCTGGTTTCTTCCCAACCCTCCCTTCAGACTCTAGATAGGGCCCTCTGACCCCACTTGCAGGCTCAGAATCCCTCCTTGCTTTGAGAATAATCTTCTTCTAAGACAGGGAAAACTTAAATTTCAATAGGTCAGATGATTTAGCATCCAAGCAACTATTCCTCTAGTCACATTCAACTTGGCTTCTATTTTCAATAAATGTGCTTTTTGCTCTAGTTGGAGACTGAAATTCTCTCACCAATGCCTCTGTTGAAGTGATTGAGCAGGGCCCTGATAACCTGCTCAGTTCTTGTGGTTACTTCCGGTCAGTATTCCAAAAGATTAAATCTGAATCTGGAATACATGGCTACAGCCAGTCCAGTGCCAGAGCTTCTAACACTGATTGCGTGATCCCCACTCATCTCCTCATTCCAACGAGCTCTGATCTGGTTAGATGCTGGTGACACTGCCTGCCTCCAACTTTATAGATACCCTGGCCTCCTAAAGGAGTTAAATCTCCTTTACTTATATAGAGCTAGGCCTGTCCCAAAGAATGCACCTCCCCACTAGCCTAGTGCACAGGCCCAAGTCTGCTTTGGCTAGGGCTACCAAACTCTGAAGAAGGAATGGGCCAAACAAACTGAACAAATACAAAATGTGCACAGAAGTAATTCTAGCTGCACAGTTTAGAAGAAAAAATGGGTTGGATTAATACAGCTTAAAGATCAAAACACTACCAATTTCCTAAACCAGTCACCTTGACAGGGATTTTTACCAACAGAGTTATCCCCATTTTACCTTAACGACTGTAGCGGGAGAGATTGCAAAAGGAGACCAGGGGTCCACAGCTTCCAATTTCATGTTTACAGAGAATGTATGAATGCCAATAACTTGTTTGTCCTGAAATGCAGACACCAAAAGGGGATGAAAATATAGAATCTGTATAAATTTTACACTCACATGTAGCTGAATCCTACTGTGATTAATAGAACTGTCCAGCTTCTGGTAAATCCTATAGTTTTCTTATAATGTGTAAAACCAGCCAATATAATTTTGTTCTCTGGAAAAAACTATCCAGGAAAAAACAAAAACACAGAAAGTGCTTCTACTCTCTACATTCAAAGACAAGAAATAACTGGAGGAAAAAACAAATTTATTTTATAAGTTAGGGCTATGTAGTTAAGGATAGAAAAGATTCAAACTATTTTAGGAGAACTTGGGGAGAAAATCTAGAAAACTGTTGGAAGAAAACAAGGATGATTATCGGTCTAGCCTTAACCCTTCCTCCTTCAGATGCCACAGCATTCTTACTGATTGCAGGGGCTACTTTATGCTTTCACCTCCCTGAGCTGTTTTACTCTTCTGTAAAGGGAGCAATACCGATCCATCACATGTTTGGTTTTTACCTTAAATAAATAAGATGGTAATGGTTCTTCCTCTTCCTCTTTCACTTTAGCCAAAATCTCTTGCCACTCAGCTTCATTTTTAAGATGTCTGATGGCTTTAATAAAACAAGTTAACATGCATTAGATGATGAGAAAACTTATACCTTTTACTTGTTGTGAAAGCATTCATATAAATAAAAAAAGTCACTTTCCACTGGAACTAGAAAATGGTTCAAGCCCACTTATAGCCCTCTACACTCAAGCAACTTGCACCTTAACTTCAGCACTTTGCTTTATACAGAGCCTGGATAGCTTGGTTTTATGAAAATACCTACAGTAATATCATAAGGATTGCTGGAATCCATAAAATTGTAATGTAACATCCAAATTGGGGCATATAATAATAAATGCAAATTGATGTAAACAGCAACTTCTGAAACACCAATATTATTAGTATTTCTTTTAATCAACAATTTGCTGTGACCCAATTTTCTATATACCTAGCTAAATGCTCCCTTAACAATTTTTTCTTTATTTTATCTTAGTAAAGGGTCACTATGGGTTGGGACAGAAGTCTCTGAGGTATAACAATATGTGTGGAAAATTATAAAAGCAATAGGCCTGGCGTGGTGGCTCATGCCTGTAATCCCAGCACTTTGGGAGGCCGAGGTGGGTGGATCACGAGGTCAAGAGATCGAGACCATCCTGGTCAACATGGTGAAACCCCGTCTCTACTAAAAATACAAAAAATTAGCTGGGCATGGTGGTGCGTGCCTGTAATCCCAGCTACTCAGGAGCTGAGGCAGGAGAATTGCCTGAACCCAGGAGGCAGAGGTTGCGGTGAGCCGAGATCACGCCGTTGCACTCCAGCCTGGGTAACAACAGCGAAACTCCGTCTTTAAAAAAAAAAAAAAATTAGGCACTTGTCTAGGTGCAGTGGCTCATGTCTGCAATCCCAGTACTTTTGGAGGCCAAGGTGGATGGATCACTTGAGGTCAAGCGTTCTAGAATAGCCTGTCCAACATGGTGAAATTCTGTCCCTCCTAAAAATACAAAAATTAGCCAGGCATGGTGATGGGCGCCTGTAATCCTAGTTACTGGGGAAGCTGAGACACAAGAATTGCTTGAACCCAGGGGGTGGAGGTTGCAGTGAGCCAAGATCACAACATTGCACTCCAGTCTGGGCAACAGAGCAAGACTCTGTCTCAAACAAACAAACCCCAGAAAAACAAAACAAAACAAAAAAAAAGAAAAATAGGCATTTATTTACCCACTCCATATAAACTACTTTCTAAGAGCTAGCTCTATTATGAGAACAAAGGTTTTCATAATATGCAGAATAATATTTTTTTTAGCCTCACAGGTATTAGTAACATAGCATGTTAATGTCACGGAAGAAAAATGTTCTAGTACTCTTCACCTGAAGGGGGTTGAAGCTCATATCCCTGTTGAGCAGCCCAACCAACATGATGAAGAAATGGATCCAAGTAATACAACCAATGTTCATAACTGTCAGAACTTTCAAGTCCTTCATAACGTAGCTTCAGCCTTCCCCCGATGTTTTCTACTACAGTAACAATCCAAGTGCTTAAAGAGTCCTGGAAAGCCTGACATTCTAATCTGGATCCTGGAGCAATGAGATCTAAAGGATTCCTCCCATTACGGAGCTGTAGGATTGAAAAGTGAAACAATTCAGTAGGGGAAATTAACATAATATTTCTGAAAAGCCAACTTCTAAATGATCTCAAACCAGTCTTGGTATTTTTTACCCATTCAAAAGCCACTGACATTAAATTGTCTACCATCATGCAAGCCTTTCTAGGTGATATGAAAATGTTTTTCTTAAAGAAAATCTATCTATAATGTAGTAAAATTACTCTAACACATCTCTATCTCCAGGACTATGTTATGTAGTTTCATTTAGTAAGAAGTTTAAAAATATCATCATTACTTGTCTATTATAAAACAAATATGGGCCAGACATGGTGGCTCACACTTATACTCCCAGCACTTTGTGCGGCTGAGGTGGGCAGATCACTTGAGGTCAGGAGTTCAAACCAGCCTGGCCAACATGGTGAAAGCTCGTCTCTACTAAAAAAACAAAAAATTAACTGGGCATGGTGGTGGGCACCTGTAGTCCCAGCTACTCAGGAGGCTGAGGCAGGAGAATCACTTGAACCCAGTGGCCAAGATCATGTCACTGCACTCCAGCCTAGGCAACAGAGTGAGACTCCATCATAAGAAACAACAACAACAACAACAAACACACCAATATCAAAATATCATCATTAAAGAAAAAAAAAATCAAACATGACAAAAGTCAAAGTCCCCTATAATCCCACCTCAAAAAAAGAACCATAATAATACTTTGGCATACACTCTTTTTCTACATACAAGTCAATATCCACCTCTGCCAGTCTGTCTGTTCCTATTTTTCAGAAATGAAAGCACTGCATACTGTTTTTTGATTTGTTTTTCACTTAGTACATGATAGGCATCTTTCTACAATAGCATATATAAATCTTCCATGTTTTATATTTATGATATTTTGCACTGCAAATGGGCAATTATTTATCCAGTTACCTCCAGATGGTATTTCAGTTGTTTCTGGTTTTATTCATTTCATAACAATGTTCAAATGAACACAGTAAAAGCTTTTGATTACAGTGATGGAAAGGAAAAGTTTAACTCTCATTATCTAGAAGTATATTAAAAACTACAGTAAAGAAAAGAAATTCACTATGAAGTTAACACTTAACCATTTTTAATACACAACCTTATTGTTTTTTCCTAGTAAAAACTGCTCTATGACACTTACATATCCAGATATGTAATAGAACATATGAACAAATGAGGAAGAGATTCAGAGTAAAAGTCAGCATGGCAGAGTCATGGTCAATGCAGAGCAGAATAGTTTATCCATTCATTCATTCAAATGTTACTGAGTGTTTAGTATGTGTCAGGCTTTGGCTAAGCATAGATAAATGAGTCAGAGTGTAAAAAACAAAAACTAGTTTGAAATAGAGCATTCATCAATAAATTTAAAAGGGAATGTGAATGGATTACAGAAGTAAATGTAAGGCCTAAAACCATAAAACTCTTAGAAAATAGAGGAGTAAATCTTCTTGACCTTGGGTTAAGCAAAGCCTTCTTAGATATGATAACAAAAAAGCACAAGCAACAAAAGAAAAAAATAGGTAAATTGGATTACATCAAAATAAAAAATGTTTATGCTGCTAACAATAAAAAGACAAGCCACAGAATGGGAAAAATATTTTCAAACTATGTATCTAATCTGTACTTGTATCCAGAATGTATAATAATATATTCAACTCAATGATAAAAAGACAACCCAATTTAAAAACGGGCAAAGAAGTGTCTCCAAAAAAGGATACAGAAATGGCCCATAAGTACAAAAAACCACACTCAACATCAACAGCCATTAGGGAAATGTAAATCAAAATGAGACATCATTTCATACCAAGTCAGGTATAACAAAAAAGGTAACAAGTGTTGGCAAGGATGTAGAGGGACAGGAACCCTCATACATTGCATTTCACATATGCAACAAAGAATTTTACCAGTATGACAGAAAGTGGCAAGATACAACTCAGAAATGTTATAACCAATAAATTCATTTCACAAAATCAAGATCCCTATATTCACTGACAAGCTCAAATGCTACACTGACTTAAAAGGACTGCTGAAAGCAGGTGGAAGGCAGGAGTACAATAGGTCCAATGTCTTCTGAGCAAAAAAAAAAAAAAAGGTGGGCAGGGGAGGTCTCCAGTCACCTGGTGTGGGAGTTACAAATGTCTACCCTGAAGCAGAATCAAACCCTGCTCAGTTTCAGAGTAAAAGCCCTCGGAAGGTCCCATTTTTCAACTGTGTAAAAGAACCTGGGAAATTAGATTTTCTATGTGTTAGCAATTAATTCAGAAAATATTTAGGCACTAAGCAAGCCACCAATTTGCAACCTCTCAGGGTAAGCTTAAACTTCCCAATACCTATGCCTATGTGTCTCTAATAATAATGTTTATTTGCTTCAGACTGGTAAATAAGCAACCAATTTTAAGATTCTTTGAAAGATCAGATGGGTTTTCCATGCCAGTGTGGCATGTGGTAATACTCACGCCCTCTAGCAGTGGAACAGGAGGACTACATGCTCCTATCAAGGTCTGCCGCAGAAACGTGTCCCAGTCAGATACTTTATCTCTGATGCCTAGATGAGGGAATAAATGATTGATTACTCAAAATGCCAGCCAACAGAACGCAAGGAAACTGAACCAGTGGAGATGGTTTAGAAGTATTTCTCATTTTAAGATCTAAGAGTCCAACATACTGCTTCTTTGAGAGCTTGAAAAGATAAAACAAAATGAAACCAAAAATGCTTCTCTAGATAGAGCTACTTTCTGATTAGTTTATTGAGTTGTATACAAAACAAAGAGAATAGGCCCAACTACCTGTTCCTATATCTTCATCCAAAAGGTACTTACTTTTTTTTTATGATGGTAGTTTTCAAACATACAAAAAGAAAAAAGGTCTAATGAATCCTATGTGCCCTGGCATCAACAACTGTCACCTCACAGCCATTCTGTTTCAACGAAACCAGGAGTCACAAACTACAACCCGTGGGCTTAATCTAGCCTGCTGTCTATTTTTGTAAATAAAGTTATACTGGAGCATGGCCATACCCATTTGTTTACATATTGTCTATGGCTGCTTTCACACTACAAAGGTAGGGTTTTAGTAGCTTTGACAGAGACTGTATGACTAGTAAAGCCTAAAGTATTTCCTCTCTGGCCCTTTACAGATAATTTGCCAATTCCTGGTTTAAACCCTCACACTCCACCCATGCCCAACCAAAGATCAGTTAGAAGTCAATTCCAGATAGCATATAATTTCATCCATATATATATTTCAGTACATATTTCTAAAAGAAAAAAATATATATATATATATTTTTTTTGAGATGGAGTCTCCCACTGTCGCTCTGGCTGGAGTGCAATAGTGTGATCTCAGCTCACTGCAAACTCAGCCTCCTGGGTTCAAGCTATTCTCCTGCCTCAGCCTCCCAAGTAGCTGCAATTACAGGCGCCCACCGCCATGCCCAGCTAATTTTTTGTATTTTTAATAGAGATGGGGTGTCACTATTTTGGCCAGGCTGGTCTTGAACACCTGACTTCATGATCTGCCTGCCTCTGCCTCTCAAAGTGCTGGGATTACAGGCATGAGCCACTGCACCCAGCTAGAAAATATTTTCTTAAAATACCACAATAACAATATCATCACACCTTTTAAAAATTAACAATTCCTTAATATCAAATATCTAGTCTGTGTTCAGATTTCCCCAGTTGTCTCATAAATGGTTTTGTCAATTTGTTTGATTACGTCAGGACCCAAATGAGATGCACACATTGCAAATGTCTCCTCCTTCTCCTTCTTCCCCTCCCTTGCCCTACTCGCTCTTTTTTTTTACTGCACATTTGTTGAGACTTGGCCTTTGTCCTCTGTGGGATATTTTTTAGTCTGATTTCCTTGGTTGCATCCCTGTGGTGACCAGTTGTTCTACTGTTCCCTGTATTTGCCATAAATCAGTATTTAGAGTCGAGGCTTGATCAAATTCAGGTTAGATTTTGGGGCGGGGGTGGTGAGGGCCAAAGAATACTTCACAAGTGGAATAAGTGATACCCTTCCATTAAGAACATGAAGAGGCACATACAGTCTGGCTGTCTCTCCCTTTGTGACACCAGCAGCTTTTAATGGTCACTACATAGATGCACTCGTTCATTAGGGTCTCAAAATGGTGATATTCTAATTCTATTATTCCTTATTAATTTACTAACCAAAGAACTTCTATAAAGAAAAACTTTTATTCATCAACTATCTGATTACACTGAGGTAGAGTTCACAGGAAGAAGGCCGAACATATACTTGATTGTCTTTACTCCTTCCCTGTATTTAACACCCTTTAAAATAAAACTGTTGGTCCACAGGCATCTTCCAAGAGTGACTAACGAGGGTTTTGTTTCAAAATTTCACTATGAAGTCATACATTAAAACAAATACATTTCAAGCCATTATAGCTGTTGTCCTTACTGGCACTCTTAAACCAGAGGCAGTCTCTTCAGGTTGGCTCTAAGTCCTTTTGGCATGACACTAGTAAACAGCCATGGATAACTTTTTTGCTTTTTGATAGGACAAGATGTTCCAGGCTCATCTAGGAAATTGCCTCCCCCGGTGCAGGACTCAGACTCAGCTACTTCTGCAAGAAGCCCCAGTTTATTTCCATGGAAATGTGTTTAGAGACCCGGAGTGCTCATTTTCACTGGGTTGTTTCTTTGCCTTTTCAGTGTCTAGAATTAATGCATTTCTTCTTTTCAGGATAAATTCCATCACGATACTTCCAAAACAAATTCAGAAAGATAGTGCTTTTATTTAACTCATCCCTCTAAGCTCTATTTCCTTTCTATTATGCTGAAAATCCTAGCTCTCAATTACATGTTTCACCATTTATTTGCTTTGCCTACAATATATAAACAACTATTTCAGAGTAACATCAAATCTACCACCAACCATAGGATCACTAAAAATAGGTTAAGAGTTTTTCTTTGCATTTTTTTGTTATTGTTATCCTTAGAGTACATCTCTCTAACTGGGGATGTACTTTCACATTTTACTATATTTTAAAGTCACTGAAATAATTCCTCTTCATGTGGTTATCCCAAAAACTACATATACAGTTAGGTTTCATTGATTTTGTTTTTGTTTTTAAGAAACTGCTTTCTAAACATTTAATTTTGCTTTCTAGTTACACATTTACATGGTTCAAAAGTCAAATCTACAAAATAAGGTACTTTCATAAAATTTAGCTTCTATCCCTATCTCCTTCATTTTACTCCCTTCTTTTCCCATAACTTTTCTAAATGATTCTTTTATTCACATACACACACATTCGTATCATCATACCCTTCTGCTCTCTTCCTCCTCAAGTCTGTACACATTTTTCATACAATAACACATCCTGTAGCCCACTCCTTGGTTGTGTGTAAGCACGCCTCCTTTCTGTTTATTGCTGCCTATAGCTGCTTTTCTTACAAAGTACCTTTGTCAGCTATCTTTTCTATTGGCAGTTATGTGTGTGGAAAACTTTGTCTACCTTTATTTTTACCCTTTCGGAGTCTCTCTGCTTAGGTATGTCTCCTGTACAGAGGACAAGAATGGATTTTGCTTTATAAGGCAATCTGAATTTATTTGTTTAGTTCTAATAGAAGAGTAAGTCCATTAACACTTATTGATATTATTAGTATGCATGGCCTCAATTTCATCATATTGTTAAATGTTACACAATTTGTGTGTATGTAGTTTTTTTTTACTATGTGATGTACCCTGTAGTAGAAACATACAGTTTCTCTCTCTGTCTCTCTCTCTCTCTCTCTCTCTCTCTCTCTCTCTCTCTCTTTTTGAGATGGAGTCCCGCTCTGTTGCCCAGGCTTGAGTCCAGTGCAACCTCCCCCTCCCAGATTCAAGTGATTCTCCTGCCTCAGCCTCCAGAGCAGCTAGGACTACAGGCGCATGCCACCACACTTGGCTAATTTTTTTTATATTTTTAGTAGAGACAGGGTTTCCCCATGTTGACCAGGATGGTCTCAATCTCCTGACCTTGTGATCAGCCTGCCTCAGCCTCCCAAAGTGCTGAGATTATAGGTGTGAGCCACTGCGCCCGGCCTATAGTTTCTCTTTCTAAGTCTCTTTTGGTACATAGAAAGGTTCATATTTTTGTGCTACTGATTACCTCTAATAACACTTTTAGTCCTCTCTATTTTTGGTCTACTTTCTATTTTGTTGTTGTTGCTGCTTCTATAAACAATACTGAAGTCAGCTATAAGCCCTTTGTTTCCTCTCCTGGAGCATCTCATTTCAGGTAATATCTTTTTACTCCCGGTTAATACTTAAAAGTTAAATAGTAAAATTACATGGCAATAAAGCTGTTTTTTTTTTTAAAGACAATGAGTGGGCTTATACTATTATTCACATTTTCCTCATTCTTGTCCCATATTTTTTATAGTAATACTGTAACTACATTTTCAGAGCATGTATGTAGCATATAAATATTATATACCATAGCGCCTCCCTTTCAACCATCATTTAGTTTAAGTTCTATAGTTATACATATATTTGATACGTGTATTTGATATTTCACTACCATTTCACACACTAATATTACCTCATAATTTGGTTGTCTGAAGCTCATTCCCTAGTGGACTCCTTAGGAAGGGCTCACAAAAACAATATTCCTTGACTCCTTACCTGTTCAAAACAGTTTGCATACAGCTGTTATATCTAAAGTTCAGCTTGGCTAGATATGAAATCCTTGTCTCATATTTTCTTTCATTGAATTTCTTAAATGTATTACATTCCATTGTCTTTTGGCATAAACCATTATTAATAACTCTGATTAAAATCTTATTTTCCTTCCTTTATAAGAGACTTGGTCTTTTTTTCCTAAAGAGCCAAGCTATTAATTTTTGCTTTAAAGTTCATTACTTTCATTAGAACACATTTTGATGTAGCTGCCCTCATTTGACTTTCCTACACTCCTAGTAATCCCTCTCAGTATGTATTATAAGTCCTCCTTTAGTTTTGCAAGGTTTACCTGAATTATGGTCCAGCATGGCGGCTGGATTACACTTGTAATCCCAGCACTTTGGGAGGCTCAGGCAGGCATATCACTTGAGGTCAGGAGTTTAAGACCAGCCTGGCCAACATGATGAAACCCCCTCTCTACTAAAAAAATACAAAAATTAGCTGGGCGTGGTAGCGTGTGCCTGTAGTCCCAGTTACTCGGGAGGCTAAGGGAGAACTGCTTAAACCCGGGTGGCAGAGGTTGCAATAAACCAAGATCAAACCACAGCACTCTGTCTCAACAAACAAAGTTTGCCAAAATTACAGTTTATATTATTTTATTGTTTCATTGCTTCCGTTTTCTTCTTCAAGGACTTCTACTTCAGATATGTTAAAGCATTTTTACCTAGCTGTATAAGGTGTTTCTCAAGTCCTTTTTCGTTCTGTTTGCTTTTTATTTTAAAAATTCTTTCCTTTTTTTTAAATCTTTTCTCTTCCAACAGTATCCATGGTTCTGATTCATTCTTGTGTTCATTTTAACTTAGTCTTCGTTTCCAATATTCTTTTATTTCCAGTTCTTGCCTAAGTTCTACTTTTTCTCTTTTCACATCTTCCCTTTTCCAATCCTTTCATTTCTGAATGTTTATAAATTTACAGTTTTTTCACTGTTTCTATTATTACTACTTTTCTGTTAGCTTATTTTGAAATGTTTCTATCTGACACAATGTTCACCTCTTCTGTGGTTGTTTCTATTCTTTTCTCACTATCATAATCTTGTATGAGATTCAACTGAAACCCTTTTCTGTTGTTTACACTTAAATGACATGCATTTTGCTACATACTTAGGATGAGATGATAGGCCAGGTGGCTTTAGGTCTCTAGAGCTCCCTCTTCTATTGTTTCTCACAAAGTAAAAAACTTTCACAAAGGAGAAGCCCACAGACATCCCAGAACCCTAACACTCAGATCTTCATTTCTTTTTTTTTTTTTTTTTTTGAGACGGAGTTTCGCTCTTGTTACCCAGGCTGGAGTGCAATGGCGCAATCTCGGCTCACCGCAACCTCCGCCTCCTGGGTTCAGGCAATTCTCTTACCTCAGCCTCCCGAGTAGCTGGGATTACAGGCACACACCACCGTGCCCAGCTAATTTTTTGTATTTTTAGTAGAGACGGGGTTTCACCATGTTGACCAGGATGGTCCCGATCTGCTGACCTCATGATCCACCCGCCTCGGCCTCCCAAAGTGCTGGGATTACAGGCTTGAGCCACCGCGCCCGGCCAGATCTTCATTTCTAAATACCTTTCTTCACTAAAAGAAAAGACTTCTTGGGGAAATGGCTGATTTCAGGGATGTGACAGGAAAATGCTTCTTGAGCCAAAAAAAATAAGAAACTGCTCAAAGAATAATAAGGACTTATTAAAAGAACACAGTAGCCAGCTTGAAGGAGTACGCACTCACCAAATCTAGGACAGTTTTAGCATGAAAAGAAATAATGACAGTAAAGGATTATAACCCATTAAATAAAATCAGAATCATGAGTGTACACTGGTATACACAGATAAATATACACATACATATATAAATGGTGGAAAGGGGGAAGCTCTTTCTATAGTAGAAAGCCAATTAAGAAATGTAGAAGAAATTTTTAAAAACACCACTTGGTAATTACTGGAATAATTGTTTCAGATAAAATTTATGAATGGATACTAAAAACAGTGGGTGAAAGTATGAAGAATAATAGGATAGTTTCATACTCTCCAAGTATCTTCCAACAAGACACTTACTAAAAAGCATAAAATAATACCTTTACAATGAAAAAACCTGGTATATATGAACCTAATCAAAGTTAATTTTACCAGTAATAAGAAAAATCATTAGCATGTATCTTCTGATATCATGCACTGGAATGGCACAGCTTTTGCATATTTCCTACCAAAAGTGAACAACCTGAATGTAAGGAAGCATCAGCCCAAATTGTGGGAAATTTGACAGAATGACTGGGCTGTACTCTTCAAAATGTCAAGTTCAAAAAAGATAAAGAAAGGTTCAGAAAACTAGAGAGACACTACAACTAAATGCAATGTGATTCTAGATAGGAATCTTGGACCAGGAAAAGAAACAGACCATAGTGAACATTACTGGGACCAGGATAGAATGAACATTGGGAAAACCTGCCTGTACCTTTCGGAATATCGAAGTCATAAAAGACAAAAGCCTGAGTAACTGTTCCATATTATAGGAAACTTACGAGACATGACAACTGAATGTAACGCATGATCTGGGATTTTTCTTTAGTTAAAAAAATGTTATTAACCAGGTGCAGTGGTTCACGCCTGTAATCCCAGTACTTTGGGAGGCAGAGGCAGGCAGATCACCTGAGATCAGGAGTTTGAGAACAGCCTGGCCAACATGGCAAAACCCTGTCTCTAGTAAAAATGCAAAAACTTGGCTGGGCAGGGTGGTGGGTGCCTATAATCCCAGCTACTTGGGAGGCTGAGACAGGAGAATTGCTTGAACCTGGGAGACAGAGGTTGCAGTGAGCTGAGATTGTGCCACTGCACTCCGGCCTGGGTGACAGAGCAAGACTCTGTCTCAAAAAAAAAAAAAAAAAGTTATTGGGACAAGTGCGGTGGTTCATGCCTGTAATCCCAACACTTTGGAAAGAGGAATACTTAAGGCCAGGAGTTCAAGACTGGCCTGGGCAAAATACAGTGAAACTCTGTCTCTACAAAAAAAAAAGTTTAAAAATTAGCTGGTTGTGCTGAAACACAGCTGTAGACCCAGCCACTGGGTGGGACTGAGGTGGGAGAATCGCTTGAGCCCAGGAGTTCAAGGCCACAGTGAGCTAGGATCATGCCACTGCACTCCAGCCTGGGTGACAGAGAGAGACCCTGTCTCAAAAAAATAAAGTAGAACAGAATTATTTTAAATGTTATTGGAACAGCTGGTAAAAACTGAGTAAGGGCCAGGCATGATGGTTCACGCTGTGGTGCCAGGTATTCGGGAGGCTGAGGCAGGATAATCACTTAAGCCCAAGAACTGGAGACCAGCCTGGGTGATGTAGCAAGACCCTGCCTGAAAAAAATAAAAATAAAAATACTAGAAAGTGATATAATGATAAGATTATGTTTATTAAACAATGTTCCCTTTTTAAAAACCAAATATAATCTGTAGATTAACTGAATACTATCTGTAGATTAAACTCAATACTATCTGTAGCAAAGTTAATTTCCTGATTTTCATATTTTACTGTAACATGAATACCTTGTTTTTAGAAATATATACAGTATTTTTGAATAAAAAGTCATATCTAAAACTGACTCTCACATGGTTAATTAAAAGAACATACGTAAGCAGTGGAGACAAGATAAAGTAAACGTAATATATGTCAACATCAACATTTGGAGAAACTTGGCAGAAAGTCTCCAATAATTTTCCATATGATTTTCATAACTTTTTGATAAATCTGAAATTATATCAAAGTAAGAAATTAAAAGAAAAATACAAAAAGTCAAGGATTTTTTTTTTTTTTTTGAGACAGTCTCGCTCTGTGCCCCAGACTGGAGTACAGTGGTGTGATCTCGGTTCACTGTAAACCTCTGCCTCCCAGGTTCAAGCGATTCTCCTACCTCAGCCTCCCAAGTAGCTGGGACTACAGGCGCACACCACCACACCAGGGTAATTTTTATATTCTTAGCAGAGATAGGGTTTCACCATGTTGGCCAGGCTGGTGCTGGTCTCGATCCCTTGAGCTCGTGATCTGCCTGCCTCAGCCTCTAAAAGTGCTAGGATTACAGGCGTGGGCCACCACGCCCAGCTAAAATTTTTTTGTATTTTTAGTAGAGATGGGGTTTTGCCATGTTGGCCAGGTTGGTCTTGAACTCCTGACCTCAGGTGATCCACCGGCCTCAGCCTCCTAAAGTTCTGGGATTACAGACGTGAGCCATCTCGCCCAGCCAACTCAGGTATTTTCTTAAACGTGCAGCCCTCTTATCTTTCTCCACATTTATCTTACCCGTCTCTTTCTTTTGCCTTTGTCTCTCTTCTGCTTAATTTGGGTTATACACCTCCTGAAATGGTGCTTGAGTTGGTTCATTTTAAGAGTTCCTAGTTACCATATTGCTTGAGGGTATGAGGAGAGAGGACAATAAAAACAGAAAAGAAAATCAACAGCATATCAGTCTGGCCCAATGGGCTTAAAAACAACCAGACCTACAAATCTCAAACTCAGAGAACCTCATAGTCTGAAAGGATGATAAGCAGCGGTGTTCCCGATGAGCATCATAAAAACCTGAGCCTTTATGGAGTAAATAAAATAATTTCAAAAGACAAGGAAATGTGTATTATTCCTTATAAATATTTTCACTCAAAATGCTAACCTAGAAAAGCTGCGTAAACCTATATGCTCAAGAGACTGAAAGCATCAAGACTGGACAATCCAAATTTTCTTACAGTAAATCATGTCACATCTTTTTTTGTTGTTGTTATTTTCTTGTTTTCTATTCTTTCATGTCACATCTTGATAGGAAGTATTTTATTACCTTCTGGGGCTTCGAGGGTCTTCTTATTCTGCTCACACCACCCAATGGGGTAGAGATCAGCTTTCCTGATGTCACACCAGAAATCTGCTCTCCGATCTTCCCCATAGCCATCATAGCGGAGAAGGAGCAACTGCTCACAGGTAGTAATGATGGTAGCAACCCAGTAGGTTTCAGGATCTGTTCTCACAGCCACCTCCAGCTTCATCCCAGGAGCAAATCCATTTTGCAAACGTGTGTCCACCTTAACAGGGAAATGTTATTAAGCACCAGACAAGTAGCTTAAATGAGTATTTCTTTAACTAATGTTCTTTTTTAAGACTTAGAATTCTGAAGCACTAAATGCAATACAATCTCAAGGGAAACCTCAGAAATTCCAATTCTAACTCACAGAAGTAACCCAGACAAAACAAATGAATAGCAATGCTGCTCTGTTCTGTCTGACAATAAAGGAACTCTGTATTTTCACCAAAGCAGTCTATTATGATTACAGAAAATGCTTCCTATTAAGGATATAAATTGCTAGTCACCATATTAATAGCTTTCAATACATTGTTTTCAAGGATAATTTCTGCATCACTCAATAGGAAATTTATAAAGCTAGATAAGCGAAAAGATGAAAATAAACTGTAATGATAATAAATTAGTACAATATGTACCATATACAGGGAGCCATATTTCCCAGTTTCCCTAAAAGTCTATGTTTCTACCAATTATTCTTGAATAATTATAACATGCTCCCTTTCTCGCTCAAAACTGTTCTAATTTAGATGAAATATCATATGGTCACAAAGGTCTGGGTTAGCAAATGTAGAACTATTAATATTTTATGTGTATACTAATGTTAAATAAATATACTGTGAATAATAAGAGCCAAGTTTCTCACTATAGGAGAAAGAAGTGACAAATAAGCAAAGGGAACCTGTGGTGTTGGACTGGAATCAGATATATCTGAATACACATGATTTATTGGTAGATAAGTAGAGAGAGATAGACATGGATGGATGGATGGATGGATGGATGGATGGATGGATGGATGGAGAAATGAATAAATAACAAGAGATGGAGACAACCATACACATGTATTCCCAACTCTTCGAACTGAGATTGAGGAATCCAGATTGAGGAATATTCCACAAATAATTGACATGTAATATAGGCTCTTCAAAAGTGTCAAGTCCAAGAAAGACAAAGAAAGAACGAGGAACTGTCATACACCAGAGGAGACTATGAAGACATGACAAATAAATGCAATATGGCAACCACAACCATTGGAAAATGTGAGGGGAATCCTGGAGAGAGCCAGTAAGGGAAAGTCCCACGTTCTGTGTAAAAAGTCTTCCCCGGCTAGTCACCACCTGTTCCATCCTAAGAGGTAACCACTATCCTGAACACTATGGCTCAATATCGACTATGTTTCCACAATATCTTAATCGAAATTACGAAATGTGAATATTTCTTGAGTGGTGCTTCTCTTGTCGAACATTATTTATGAGATTTATTCATGCTGTTGCATGTAACAGTAATTTATTTTTCACTACTGTGTAGTATTCCACTATATAAATATGTCACAATTTATTCATTCCACTTCTACTAGTTACTAGGTATTTGGCCAGTTCACAGTTTTGGAAAGCTACAAATAATGATGCCATAAACATCATTTGTATGTATCTCTTGGTACATATATACATGAATTTCTATAATAGACAACAACCAAACTGTTTTCCAAAGTAGTTGTACAAATTTAGTTTCCCAATAGCATATAGAAATCCTTTTGCTCAATTTTTTTTTTTTTTTGAGTCTCGCTGTCACCCAGGCTGAAGTGCAAACTCCATCTTTTGGGTTCAAGCGATTCTCATGCCTCAGCCTCCCAAGTAGCTGAGAGCACAGGCATGTGCCACCACCCGATTGATTTTTGCATTTTTAGTAGCGACAAGGCTTCACCATATTGGCCAGAATGGTCTCAAACTCCTGGCCTCAAGCGATTCACCTGCCTCGGACTCCCAAAGTGCAGGGATTACAGGCATGAGACACCACGCCTGGCTGCTTTTTCTATATTTTTAAACAAATCTTTTCCTGTTCTTAAAGGTCATAAGGATGATAAACTATATTATTATCTAGAAGCCTATCATATTTAGAACTAACATCCACCTGAAATTAATCTCTATGTATGAAAGTTAAATATGGGTCTGCATTTATCTGTTTCAACACGTGTATACAATTAAATCAGCACCTTTCCCAACCACTATACGTCACCACCTTTGTTATAAATCAAGTGTCCCTACAAAAGTAGATCTATTTCTGATTTACATTTCCTTAGAGCAGCACTATACTATCTTAATTAAACTTGATATCTAGTACAGCAAGTCTTCTCATTTTGTCTTATTCTTTAGGTGTGTCTGACTATCCTTGATCCATTATATATCCATATAAAAACCAGAATCAACCTGTAAATGTTTTTTTATATATAATTTAATTTGTTTACAGTAAATCTACAGACCTAGTTAGGGAAAAGCGGTATCTTCTTCACAATAGTGACCCTCTCATTACATGAATAAGGGGTATCCCTTCATGTATAAAGGTCTTTACCTTACACCAATGATGAATTGGTGTTTCCCCACAAGTTTTTTTTCTTTTTTTGAGACAGGGTCTCTTTCTGCCACCCAGGCTGAAGTACAGCAGCACAATCTCAGGTCACTGCAACCTCTGCCTCCTGGGCTCAAGGGATCCCCCTGCTTCAGTCTCCCATGTAGCTGGGATTACAGGTGTGTGCTGCCATGCCTGGCTAATTTTTTAATTTTTTTTTGTTGTTTGTAGAAAACGTCTCACTGTATTGCCCAGGCTGGTCTCAAACTCCCACTGTATTGCCCAGGCTGGACTCAAGCAATTCTCCCACTTTGGCTTCCCAAAGTGTTGGGAGATTACAGTGTGAGCCACTGCACCCAACCTCCTTGCAGTTTTTTGTTTTTTTTTTTTTTTTTTTGCATTTAAACCTAGACATTTTATGTTTTTGATGTTACTCTATTTTCATTTGGTTCCAAATATTTCTAAGTTTTCCCTGAGATTTCTTCCTTTATCTATGTGTTACTTACAAGTGTGTTGTTTAATCTCTAAGTAACTAGGGACTTTCCAACTATCTTTCTGTTATTGATTTCTAGTTTAATTTCACTGTGGTCTGACAGCAGACACTGCATGATTTCTATTATTTTAAATTTGTTAAGATGTGCTTTCCAGGCCACAGTGTGGTCTATCTTTCTGAATATGCCGTGTGAGCTTGAGAAGAATGTGTCTTCTGCTGTTGCTGAAGCAGTCCATAGATGTCCATTATACACAGCTGACTGATGGCGTTACAGAGCTCAACAGTGTCCTTACTGATTTTCTGCCTGCCAGATCTGTCCATTTTTGATAGGAGCGTGTTAAATTTTCCAACTAACAATATTGAACCCGTTTGTTTCTCCTTGCAGTTCTACCAGTTTTTGACTCATGTATTTTTACATTCTGTTGTTGGATACAAACATTTTAAGGACTGTTATGTCTTCTGGAAGAATGGACTCCTTTATTATTACATAATGTCCTTCTTTATCCCTGATAACTTTCCTTGCTTTGAAGTCAGCTCTGTCTGACATTAATATAGCTACCCACTCTTTTTTGTTGTTAGTGTTAACATGGTATATCTTTCTCTATCCATTTACTTTCAACCTATATGTCTCTTTATATTTAAAGTGCTTTAATTACAGACAACATAGAGTTGGGTCATATTTTTTGGTACACTCTGATAATCTCTGTCTTTTTTTTTTTCCCCGAGTGGCCCTGGGAGACTTCAGGAATGATCCCACCAGGAGCCAACGCCCCTCTCCAGGGCTGTGTATTTATTTTATTTTTTTTTAAAGGAGAGAAGGAAAGAAAGAAAAAAAAAGGAGTGAAGGAAAGGAAGAAAGAGGAAGAAAAAGCGGGAGAAAGAACGGGAATATTGCTTTATTCTAAAAAATGGGTATTAATAATGGCCGATCAATATTTTGTGTATTTAAAGTGGAGAATGTATATTTTGTGTATTTAAAGTGGAGAGCTCTATAAATATTTATTAAGTTTACTTGTTCCAGATCTGAGTTCAAGTCCTGGATATCCTTATTAATATTCTGTCTCGTTGAGTCTAAATCTCTTTATGGGTGTTAGGATCGCTAGCTCTTATTGTTGCATTGATCCTTTTACCACTGTATCTTTGTTGCTTTGAAATCTATTTTATCAGATGCGAGAATTGCAACTCCTGCTTTTTATTTATTTATTTATTTTTGCTCTCCATTTGGTTGGTAAATCTTTCTCCATCCCTTTGTTTTGAGTCTTTGTGTATCTTTGGGTGTGAAATGGGTCTGGATGTAGCATATCGTTAGGTTTTGGCTGTATCTTTTGATTGGGGGATTTAGTCGATTTAAATTTAGGTTACTGCCATTTGATGTTAACTGGCTATTTTATCCATTCGTTGATGTAAATTCTTCTTTATGTTGATGCTCTTTACTTTTTGGCATATTTTTAGAAAGGCTAATACTGGTTGTTCCTTTCTATGTATAATGCTTCTTTCAGAAGCTCTTATAAAGCAGGCCTGGTGATAATAAAATCTCTGAGTACTTGCTTGTTCATAAAAGATTTTATTTTTCTTTCAATTGTGAAGCTTAGTTTGGCAGGATATGAAATTCTGTGCTGAAAGTTCTGTTCTTTAAGGATGTTGAATATCGGCCCCCACTCTCTTCTGGCTTGTAGAGTTTCTGCTGAGAGATCTGCTGTAAGTCTAATAGGCTTCCCTTTGTGGGTAACCTGACCTTTCTCTCTGGCTGCCATTAGTATTTTCTCCTTCGTTTCAACCCTGGTGAATCTAACGATTATGTGCCTTGGGGTTGCTCTTCTTGAGGAATATCTTTGCAGTGTTCTCTGTATTACCTGGGGTTGAATATTGTCCTGCTTTGCTAGATTGGGAAAGTTTTCCTCAATAATATCCTGAAGAGTATTTTCCAACTTGGATTCATTCTCTCTGTCACATTCAGATACACCTATCAAACGTAAATTAGGTCTTTTCACATAGTCCCAAATTTCTTGGAGACTTTGCTCATCCCTTTTTATCCTTTTTTCTCTATTCTTGTCTTCTTGTTTTATTTCATTAAGTTGGTCTTCGACTTCAGATATCCTTTCTTCTGCTTGATCAATTCGGCTATTCAAACTTGTGCATATTTCGTGAAGTTCTTGTGTTTTTCA